TTCAAATGAATGTGAGGCTGAAATAAACTCACGTGGGAAATAAACACACATTTTGATGGAATAAATACACTTGTGAAAATAATATTTAATTTTGAAGAGTAAACAGGACAATGAAGTGTATCACGATGTAAGGTCAGCAGCAAATTACAACAGAAGGATAAAGAAACATATATAAAGTGATACAATAGAAACACAAGTGAGATTACGATCCAGGCACATCGAGAGCCTGGGATAATTTTTCCCCTCACCAAGGCTCTAATATAACTAGTTATTTTAAAACTCATGGCTGTTCTTTTCCAACATTTTAACTCACTACTTATTTTTGAGAACTATGTGCTAATTTCTAGGAGTATATAAAGTTAGTAGACACATAGTCCTTTGCTCAAATGGGGTTAGATAACTGGTAGTTTGCTCGGGCAACCGCTATTTCCCATGGAGAGGCCAATATGAACTTACGGGACAATAATGCACAGTAGCCAAAAGTTTGCTATAGGAACCTCTAAGAGAGCAAGATTATTGGAAGTAGTATGCTCTGATGAAAAAAAGTATATGTTTATGTAAGTTTATTCTATGTTCATCATTGTTTGTCCTTTTCTTAACCATACACTGTCAGTTTGCAGGAACTCAAGTTTTTATACAAAAAACCATAAAAAATTGTTTTGAAAAAAGTTGAGTTTTATATAATTCAATCTCTTGTTCAGATATAGGAAGTTGTAATAGTAGAAGATGGTAATTTTAGAAAGCATATCTTGAAACATTACAAAACACAAACACATATGAATTTCTAGCATACTAAAAATAATTTAGATATATCATCTTTGATGATTTAAAATTATTTTCAGTCTCTCATTTTAATTTCAAATTAATCTTGCTTTTATATTTGGATGATAGAGTCCCACATCTCTCACACAAAAAAATCAACTAACACTTATTAGGCTTTTTATTTTTTTAAATGTAGAGAAAGGGAAAGATGATAAAATATGGCCCATAATTTCTTAGTCTAGATTATCCCATAGACATAAAAAAAAAAAAAGTAATACAAGTACATGGTCAGAAAATTCAAAACATTCAGAAATGTGCAAATTGAAAAGTAAAAGCCTTCATTTTTTCCTCTCTCTACCCCTATATGCTCTCCCCAAAGGCAATCACTTTTTTCTCTCAACTTTTTTTTTTTTCTTTAACATGTCTGGAACTCATCTTTCAAAGCCTAATTTGGGTTCTGCCATCTCTAAGAGCTCATGCCAAACTGGGAAACTGGCCTTCAGGATAGGGATGCCACAGTACCCGCCCCCGCCCCAGTCTACAGAAATGGTCTGATGTCACCTCTGCATTAGTTCCAGGACTCCTACTATTTTTCCAGAGTCTGTCATATTGATTATCCTTTTGGGATTAATGAGACTTGGAAGCAGGGAGGACAACTATTACAAACAGTGCTTTATCATTGAGAACCTGTGCCAAAGTTTAAGAGAAATTTTAGAAAACTATTGGCTGAAGGGAATATTTAAATTTAATAAAAATTGCCAAATCACTTTCTAATAATGTATCAAATTTGCCTCCAACTAATGAGTGCCTGCTTCCCTTTCACTCTCACAAACAAAATTTTTAACCATTTACTATGTAAATGATGAAAATTTCAAGTTTATTTTGCACTGTATTTAATTAGGAAAGAGAGCGAACATCTCATGTATGTTGCCCATTAAAATGTCTTAGTGGATTGTTTAGGATCCTTTGTCTATTTCTACTGGTTTTCAATTTTTTTAAAGAGTTTTTTGTACTTTAGGTAAAATAGCGCTTTGTCACATTTTATTCATTCAAGTACTGCTCTAGGCTCTGGTGTTAAAACAGGAAAAAGTAAATATCTGACCTTAAGGAGCTTAAATTCTAGTAGTAGGATACAGGAAAAAGAATTTATTTATATTTACACACACACACACACACATATGAGGTGGTGATAGGTGTTACAGGAAAAAAAAAGCAGGGTAAAGGATAGAAATAGCAGTGTCTAGAGGATCCTATTTTGTACAGGATGGCCAAGAAAGGTCTTTCTGATAAAATGGAGATCTGGGAAGATGCCTGAAGAGAAGAATCAATGTGAAGACCCAGGAAAGAATATTCCAGGCAGGAGAAATGGCAAAGCAAAATTCTGTAGAGAGAGAAACTAATTGTCATGTTTTGAGGAGCAGCAAGGAGGGGACAGACTAGAATGGAGTGAACAAGGAAATGAGTCAGGAAAGTGGTCAGAAGCAGTGGGGCCGTCTGCTAAGGTCTTTAGATTTTGTGTTGTGTGAGATGCGAAGCCATTGGAGGGTTCATATATGACTGGAGGTGGGTAGAGGAAGCATAGAGGCCAGTTACAAGACCTTGGGATAATGGAAGTGAAAGATTATGCAAATAATGTTTGCAAGTAATTTTTCCTAGTTTGAGTTTACATGGTTTTTGGTTTTTGAGGAGAGAGATAGGTGGCCATGTTAGATTTTGTTTATCTACTAGAGTAATAAATAGCAAATTTGTTTATGTCTTGGTTTTGTCACACAAAAGGTTACAAAGGCATCTAGTATTTATATTTTCGTTTTTTACATTAACATTTTTCATCTATCTCAAATTGTTTTGTGGATAAGCAGTAAAACAGGCAAAGACTACTACTGCACGTGGCTATGCAATTTATTCACTGCACAAGGGCACTGGGACAAGGAAGAGAGGGCTGAAATCCAGTCAAACTATGATGCACTGAGAGGTACTGAATCCACTAGAGGAAGGAGCCTTTTTTCTAATTTGTACAAAGGTGCTATATGAACTAGTGGTGCCACTGGTGATAGAGTTCAAACTCTAATCCATTGTTTCAATACCAGTTATTGAATAATCCATCTTTTCCCATACTGATTTGAAATGCCACCTTTATCCTATTTGATATTCATGGCTTCTTGTATCTTTGGTAAAATTAAGGACCTCATTAAAGTTGAAATTTGCCATATTAAAAAATTTTTTTAAATGTTATCTTCTTCACTAGGAAAGTCTTAATTTTAGGAGCCAGACTGGAGGCAAAGTTTGGCATATTACAAAGAGTTGGTGCAGTTGGATGAAGAATTCCTCATCTTCCCATGCAATAGAAAAGAAGCATTTATTGTCTTTGCTTAAAGACTTTAGCCTAAACACGTCAAGTCATTTCAAAGAGTCCCGTGCTAACCCTCTGAAAGGCTTTCTTATCTACCTTGAGATAAGAGCTCAACTAACAGTCTAAAGTCCTATTGTTATAGGAAACATTTCCTGATTCACGTTTGGCATCACTTTGAGCACTCTGACTTGGGTGGAAGGTTTCTTATACAACTGTCACAGGAGGATGAAGGCTCTTATAGTGGTAGATTTGTGGATGTACATTTTGTGAATGGTGAGTCACTATATATTCCATGGTCTCTTTTCAAACAAAAGTAAAAATCCTGTCTTTTCAGCTGTGTAACTCCCCGCCCGCCCCCCGCCCCCCCACGCACGCCCAGGTCCATCATTATGCTATTCCTGCCTTAGTGAGACAAGAAATAAAAATCATTTGACGCTTCTGCCAAAAAACAGAGGCTTCTTTCTGCTAAGACAAACAAGCATAAAATATAAGGGAAATAGAAATGTTCCCGCTTTGTGGTTTTATGCTTAAGCAAAGAGAAAACTAAGACACCATAGGTCTTAACTGGTCAGGTACAGTTTTCTTCCCCCTACAAAGAAGGACTGGGTTTGGAGGGGTATGAAATGGAGAGAGAGGTGGTAAAACAGATGCAAGTTCTCTAATAAAGTAGCTTCCTCAGATTCTCCTCCCTCAGAGTGGACTTTCAGAAACAACGCTTTATCCGTAGAGCAGTTGTTTGTCAGCATTCGAGGATGCTGAAGAATTCACTAGATGGTAGCTAAGCCTATGTTAAGAAAGAATCTAAATTTATTGTCCGGCCTCAGAGTGATGACTTTATATGTCAAAGCGATGGATTGAGAAATGAGGACAGCAGAGGTATAGATGGGCTCAATTACATGAAATATATAGATTCATAATTTTACGTCATCAGTTGTACAAGAAGCGAACATGAAAATGTTTGAAGAGTTGTATTTTGGTAAAGAGTAAGAATTTCTAAGTTGATTATCTTTCAGATCCAAGTCATGTTTCAGTGCTTCAACTATATATGCTTAATTATTTTTAGTTGATATATACTTAGAATTTTCTGCTTTCCAGCAATTTTAGAGCAGTAACAGTGACAACTAGAGTTTAAAAAAAATCAGGCACAAGCATGGAGGCATATTTGATAATTTTGATGTTTAGATATGAAATAGATCATTTTCAGTGCCTCTTTATACCTGTTTTCTTCCCTATTCCCAAGGCCAGGTATAGTTCATGCTTCCCTGTATGTGTGTGTGTGTGTGTGTGTGTGTGTGTGGGCGGGTGGGGTCCCAGCTCTGCTACTCGCTAGCTAGCTGTAAAACCACTCGTGTCTCAGGATCTATCTTTTTATTCGGAACTTCGTCCTCTTCAAGTCTTTCAAAGAACAAAACTCCTTTCTATTCCTTCATAGCCCTTGCGCCCACCATCATTCTGCATGTAACAGAATGGTGATCATTCCATTTCTGAGAGGTTGCTAAACCCTATTCAAAACCTTTTCATTTTTTAACAGCTACAGTCCTAATCAACAGACCAGTAACAGCAGCACCATGAGATTATGTAAATAGACCAAGGGGCTTACTGGATAAAAAACAAAAACATTAAAATATAATGAAAACATAAACAATCTTGGCACTTGAAATTTAAGAAAATTTAGCCTTGTATAAATTATCTATTTTTCAAACTAGATCACTTAGTGGAAGGTCAGGAACACCTAAAAGAATGGTTGGCTATTCTGTCTTGTTACGATCCTATCATAACAGTTCCAAATTTAGGATATATAAATTTTCATAGTAAAATAGCTCCTGTCTGCAAAACCAAGCCATTTATTATCTTAGTTGGCAAAAAGTAGATTAGATGTTAGAAGCACAAATTTAACAAACCCTATTTTATTATTTACAAAATACATAGTGATCATAAGGATACATGTCACAAATTATAAAAGGGAAAAAAGTACAGGGAAAAGTAGACAAACGTGTTAAATGACAAGGTACTCATACACGTGTAGTCCATTTAGAATAAAACAGTTCTTTGTTAAAGTTAGACAAGGCCAAGAGTAGGTACATTGCTGTGTAAAAAATGCCAGTTACCCAGAAATATACCATGCTATCAAAAAGTAGAAAAGTGCTGATAATGTACCTAAATGTGTCCTAAATTAGATTACAGCATGTACAGGTCCAATGTTCCACAACAGAACAATTGGTTTTAGGCAGGATTCTGTGAGAGACTTGACTGCCTATCTTGCTGGAAGAGCAAAGCCCCAGGACCGATTAACTTCCCTACCTTCCATAAAGCTTTGTTCAGGTGACTTTGAAATGTGGTATCAAACACCCAATTGATTTCTGCTGCAAGTTCCCTCAGAACAGACACTGTGGACTCATCACTGGCATTCAGAATCCGCACAAAGAATTTATTCCACAATTCACCATCTTTTAGCCTAAAAATATATAAAACCATTTCCATCAAGATTAGGCATATAAAAGTTAAAATTCTTTCTGTGTCTAATTCAGTGGTACATTTATGCACCAAGATGTTTTAAGGTAATGCCTAGAACTTTAGGGTTAGAGATCATTCAAATAATCCTTTGAAAGCCCAGGGTGGTACTTGGAAAAAAAAGACTACCATAGTGGGAAAAGCCATAATACAATGCACATAAAGGAAAAGTCTCTCATCTAAATCTATAAATTTCCTGTGTACAAAGATGCAGCACTTCTCTTCTACAAATAGAAAAAAAAGGAATTTTGTCTCCTTTCCTCTAACTTTCTTAAAGTTTAGGTCATTAGAAAGACTACAGCTCCGTACACCCACAATGGTTATCTTCAAAATCCTGAGAATCCTACGCTTAACTGAGGTAACAGTAGTTACCTCAGTTAAGCGTAGGATTCTCAGGATTTTGTACTTAAAAAAAAAAAAAAAATCAGAGAAGCTTCCATTATTGTATAAGGCAGAGCTATTAGGAAACCTCACCTGTTTCTGTTTGTGTTAGGCCCACCTAGGACCATAACCAACTGGAGATACCTAAATCTATCCGATGTGTCTTACATTATATTGCAAGCCTACTTTTAAAGCATGCATTAGAGGTAAGACTGACCAAATTCTAAATTCAATAAAGAAAAAAATACAATTCAATTGTTAGGAGCGGGGAATGGAGAAGGGGTGGTAAATCTTCAATGCTGATTTTTTTTTTTTAAACCAAAGAACATACCGATAGTGATAGATTGATCAGCTTATTCTGGGAAGTTTTTTGGTCTGATAAACTGAAGTGGAATATGGGATATTTAATAAGTTTTATGAGTAGGCTTGAGGGAATACTAAGGTTCTGAGACCAAGCAGCTCTTATTAAGAGAGCATTTACTTCTTTACAAAGGAGATTCAGTTCTCTGCTTTGGTATCACCCATTCATTAAATAAATAATAGCCTACAATTAGTATATAATTTAGAAATTTAACTCTCTTCAAGAGATGCTTATTAACTTTTGATAACAATAGCTATTAAAAAGGGGTATAAGACTAACACCAATTGGTTAGAAAATCATTCTCATGAAATGTTTCTACTAGCATTCCAAATTGAGAGGCTTCAACACTATAATTGCAGTCTGTATGATACATCTAGGTCCAGAACAATATCCTGATGTCTGAATAGTTTTGTATTCTTAATTACCAACTCCTTTGTCCTGCACTAGGTGCTCCACTGATATTCTTAACAAAAAATGGCTGGAATTAATGGAATTATGGCATTTGGACTAAGAAAACTAAGGTTGCCAAAGCAGGGAGAGCACCCAAGAGAAAGAAAATTATTTGGACAAGCAAAGACCCTGAAATCACCAATACTTACTCAGAAATATTTTGGCTAAGTTTCCAGAGGGACCCATCCCAGAAGACCTGTAGATGTTCCTTGAACAATAGTAAATGTGCTAAATCTGCTATACCAAACAGATCTACCTGAAATCACAAAAAGCACCATCAGCTAAAATAATTCTCTGCTACTATCATGGCAATTTATGTAGGAAGTTGAAAGATACTATAGTGATTAACTAAATTTATTTTATGACATATATTTTAACAGACTGTTCTTCACCCTTATAGTAAAGGGAGAAGCTCCCCAAAGAAGTGACCAATAGTGCCAACTCTAGGAATTATCTTTAAGAATAAAAGGTAATAAAAATATCTAGACTGTCAAATTCAAATTTATAGACCTACTGAATTTGCATGGACCCCAGCTGTGATTTAAATGTGGTCCACATGACTAGTTCAGGTTCATGCTACATATTCAATCGGCAAATGCCATATGTCCAGAGCTGAGTGAGAAGAAATTTTTGCATATAATGCCACCATATAAAACACTTTACATTTGTCCTAATGTTTTTTATATACATTTTTCAATTTAATCCTCACAATTCTGATGTACACAGAGCAGACTGTTATCCTTATTCACAGAGAAGATCACAGAAAATGATTTATAAAGACCACATAGATAAGTGGTAGAAATGGCCCTGACACTTAGAATGCTGAGTTAGTCATGTGTCTGCACGTGTATGTGTATGTTCTTTAGTGTTGACAGAAAAATGGTACATTTTGCTTGACTTGATATTTGAAAACTAGGTCATCTATTCCAGGAGAGACAATATCAGTAAACACTAGCATTCAAATCTTATTTAGATTAAAAAAGAGATTAAGAAACCCTCTCCATATTTACTCAGACTTGTTTTACACTTACCTGGTAGGGAGAAGAACAGTTAGCCAGGATCTTTTGTCCTTCCAGGATCTGTACAGTCCGAAAGCCACTGAGGGCAAAAATGTCTAGCTGAGCCCTGAGGTCGACACTGTAGGAAAAGTCCACTATGTTCAAAGCTTGATTGTTCTTATTACAATCATAGGGATCGTGGATTCTAAGCCCAGATTTAAGAGAAAGAGATAATAAAAACAAGCCATGAAAGAAGCTGCATAGCTGGTCTTTAAAAAAAAAAAAAAAAAGAAAAAAAAAGAAAAAAAAAGAGATACTGCAGGTGTGTCTTAGCTATGCCAACATCCCCCTCCAGTGGTTAGTTTTGAAAATGCACCTATAAGAGCAGCGGTTGTATATACCTACGTGGGGAATGTCAAGATTATAGTTTAGTGACACAAAGTATCTAAACCATAGTGCATGACCACCACAGAACATTTATCAAGTTTCCATATTATATACAGTTAAGTACTGGAAGTAGAGTATAGGCATATAATAGCGATGATTTATACACTGATGAGAATTATGATGGAGGAAATTAAGCTTTTATAGGTGTCAGCCTTTCTTGTTTACTATTATAAATTAGGCTTTCCAACTGTTATTCATATTCTTCCCTTCCAGAGTTTAACTGAAAATAATATAAGGCTTGTTTCTGATAAAGTGCTACTTATATTGTAAACTATCCTGGTTAATTAATACCATATTCTATTTTACCTTATTCTAACCCTTACTTCCTAAAACAAAACAAAAGAAACAACTTTATAATACTAATTCACTATTTATTTTATTTTCCTTGTCTTTATCTATTCCATGCAATAAAGCTACTATCCAAAGAGACATGGGAACTATTTAGGTAAGAGAAATTAATGGATTATTTTTGTGTTCCTTTTGTCTCTGCTTTTCTCAGTTCCTCAAATCCCTGATTAACATTGGTAGTAGGTCCTATATTCCTAAATACAGCTTTGACTAATCCCATCATGTACTTCCACAAAACAGAATCATCTATTTTACTTTAAAATTTATATTTGTTCCCATTTTTCCTTGGCACAAGATGCAAACCCCGCCCCCCCCCTTTTTTTTGGCCAACACAAAACTATAATTCCCAGGTATTTTTAAAACTTGGGAGAGGTAGGGGAAAATGTTTCTTGGGCTAATAAAAAGAAGCTGTAAGTTCTTCTAGCTCTCTCTAATTGGCCACTCACTGTTACCATGGGCAAGACATTTTACTTTTTAGGATCAAAAGCTCTTTGAATTCCTTTTGAATCTATATGAAATTTCTGGTTAAATTTGATAAGTTGTGACAAAGTAAAAGGCAATGTCCCTTTAACATCATGGGCTTTCTTGGAGTTCTCTGTTGACTGAGAGGAGGGATATCTGAATACATAGTGCACAAATGCCCAATCATTAAAAGGTTATCTTTTTGCTTATTATTTCCATAGCCCAGAGAACTTTAGCACTATGCTCCAAACTTTCAGTGCTGTGAAATGGGGTGGAAATAAAACTATACCTGGGGTTCTCACATTTGGAAACATATGCGGGATTTTTGGAGGTCACAGTGGCTGGGGGAATATAATTTGTATTTAATTTGGTGGGGTGAGGGGAGTTATGAGGGAATAGAAACATAAAACATTCTGAAATGCTTGAAACAGACTTGCACAAATAATTATCTCATCCATGAACACAATGTAATATATGCATGAAATTACTGAACTGTACATTTGAAACCTACTTGTTTTTATTAACCAATGTCACCCCAATAATTTTAATTAAAAAATAAAGAATTATCTCATCCAAAATACCTATGGTTCCCTGGATGAGAAATGCTGCTATATTATGCCTAGGGAAGAATTGAGGATTCTGCTGTCGCAGGAAAAGAAGGTAGGATGCTCTAGTTCTGTTGGTTATAATTGCAGATATACATTGAGGGTTCTTTTAATTTCTATGCCAGCTATAATTTAAGTCTAACTCGGTATCCTCTTACAGATTAAGTAGTCAGGAGAAATGTAAAGAATGATTGCAGCTTTTAGTGTACACCAATGACCTCGGAGAAAAAGTTAACTGCTTACCCAAGGTTGAGGCAGACAACCCATTTTTAAACCAGACTGCTTTACTCAAATACCACGAGACAGATAATCACTAAAAGGGTGTGCTGGTTCCCCAATCCTTTTCATAAAACAAAAATAATGGGCTGTCTTTTTATTGTTCATGCCTTGTTTATGCTTCAATGTGTTTTATATTTTCTCAGTTCTTAGTATTTGGGCTTCATTTCTTATTTCCTGCTCTGTGTTCAACCCTTGAACCTGATGACTAAACTGTGTTTAATTTGAACACTAAGCCCCTTTTCTTGGCATAGTTTGCATGTGTACTCTGGTTTTATCCGTTCCTTTTGGCAATTACCTCAATTTAGGTTTGGTCTTTAAAACTGAGCAGTACCTCAGTTTCACTATCACACTTGCTAGGTCTACACTGGCACCACTCAAAGACAGACTAGACAATCTACTTTGCATTCTCACAAATATTCATATTTTATATCTCTTCTTGTAAATTATTCCCAATGATTATTGACTTTTAGGTAGAAAATATTATCTTATACTATGTTCATCAATATGGCATTTATTGAAAGCAAAAGAAAATGGCAACTATCCATGTTTTAACCCATTTCCCATTTGCCCCGAGAATACTTGAGGGTGACACTTGTAACTGCAGCATTTACCCCAAGATAACTCACAGATTACAGTTCTAATCTTACTCCCAAAGTTTGCCATGAAATATTTTGCTTTTATTCTTATTTTTGCATCACTCTAGTATATCAATAGTCTTTGGAAACAAATGCATTTTTAGTATTTTTTCCATTTAAAAAATATAGTAATTCTCAACCGCTGAAAATGTCAAATCCTAGGAAACGTAGCATTCCTACACAAGATGTTAACACTGGCAGCGAGCTGCACTTTTTTTTTTTTAAATCAGAAAAGGATTAAGAGAAAGCTGACAGAACTATAAGAAAATGAAAAGGACCAACCTGTTTCTAAGAATCAGACTCCTTGGACTCAAGTCACCATGGACTATTTCCGCTTTGTGTAGTTTCTCCACTATTGTCAAAAGGTTATAAACTATCAACACTGTTATTTCATGGGTAATAAATTCACTGTGCTGAAAAAGATCCTGGAAAAAGAAGGACAAAAAACTCACCATTTCTTAAGTTAGGGTAACTGTACTTAAATCAATACCTTGCTAACTGCTGCTTTGTACTCTTCCTTGTTGTTCTCTACGAGAATGTGGGCTCCTTTATAGGTTGGGTCTTTGTCCCAATTTTAACAACACTGCTCTCCTGTAAGATTGTTTGCGAGAATTTAATGAAATAATGAACGAAGAGCATCGAGGATGAACTTGGCCCCTAATAGATAATCTATAAATGGTAATTTTAAACTACCCTTATTCCAACCATTTTAGAGAACTCACATTACCATCAAAATATGCAGCAAAACCTTAGGAACATTCCAAAAAACAAACAATATATTATGTTTGGGTTCTAAAAATAATCCAGTGGGATGGTGGTAATACAGATAAGAGTGGCAAAAATAGACCTCTCAACCCCTGGTTCCCTTTCCCTATGCATGGAGCTTGGAAGTCACCGTTCTGTCCTAACAAGAAAAAAGCTGAACAGACTGAAAAATCAATAACTCTCTTAAGATCTGTAAGCATAGGGGGACTTCCACACTTTTGTGAGTTTTATCTTTAGGAGCTAGACCAGGTTCTCATAGTAAATATCAGAGAAAAATTCCCCTCATCCTTCTGGCTGGGAAAGGGAAAAGGAACCATTTTGAAATAGGCCAGAGCACTCTGTTCTTAATAAGACTTGCCCTCAGGAAGGGAACTACCCAACTTGAGCCCACTCTACCTATCCTGTCCTACATAAAAAGGGGTTGGGAAAAAAAAAACAAAACTGAGAAACACTTGTGAAGTTCACAGTCCAGAGGCATAGGCTCACTATAAAAGAATATAAATCACAGGACTATACAATGCTTCCCTCCCCTCTCACCTTATCACATTACTAAAGGCCTATTTATAGCAGTTCCTTTTACCTAGTACATCATGTCTGGCTATCCAGAAAAAAATTACAAGTCATAAAAAAGGGAAAAACATAATTTGAGAGACAGAGTAAGCATCAAAACCAGATATGGCAGGGATGTTGGAATTATCAGATCAGGAATTTAAAACAAGAGTGGCCATGAACTGATGATGATCATAGTGAGATGACCGAGTCATTGAACTATTTTACTTTTATATATGTTTGAAAATTGGCATAATAAAAAGTTAAAAGAGGTTCTTGGTCAAAATAACTTGGGAAAGAAAATGATCAATGCTTTTAATTTATAATGAATCAGTCTATTTCTAGAAGATTAACAGGAATTTGTACTAAATTATTTTGCTAAATGGAGCACAAATCTCTCTATTTGAGGACTTGAAATTATATTTTTATATTATTGCAAACCTGAAGGGTGAAGCAGTTTATATACTGGTGCCAAACAATACAACCATCTTGGTATTGATAATAGCTGCACAAATGATCACACTCCTCATTTAAACGTTCCTTTAACTTGAGGTTGATATAAAAGTCCCATGGGACAGTTTGAGAAGATACCTGTAAGAAATTATATTTTAAAAATCAGAGCAATTAGAATCTATGATAATGGTTGGCAGATTGAAAACACTCCCTCCAACTCTTCTGATATCCCAACAGAAATAATAATAAAAGGATGTTTTAAAAGGCATAAATCTATAATAAAGGACATAGGGGCAACAAATTCTCAAAGCTGGAAAGAGAACAATAAGAGGTAACAATTCACTTAGCAGACCCAAGGAAAACTGATTCTAGCAATGGAGAAAGCTAAGAGTAACCAAATTTACATTGTAAGACCATCTCCCTATAGTATAAAACTGGTGGCACCAAATACCTGTAGAAGTAAGGGTGAAGGTAGAGCTAAAACAGGTGTGGTTGAACTCTATTAAAGAGAAAGTTAGATTCCAGCTTCTCCCACCTCTTTCTGTAACCCAGCCTAGCAACTGCCTCTTTCCCATTCCATAACATCAGAAGTTTATTCCTAGAGAGTATAAAACAGAAGGGCTCTGGACTAGAGGACACCAGACACTGTTGGGGGTGAGAATACCATATGGAAAAGAAGAAAAAGTTTATATAACAAACGTTATGATGTACCTTCCACTCTCCAGACTAATTTCCCCACCAAGCTTTCAGGAAGCTAGTAGCTAGGATTATATGCCCTAGGCAGGAAATTAGAGAAGTTTTCTCTGAGGGATCTGATAAGCTCAAGAGTAAAGACCTGAAAACTGAGATTTTCTAATAAAATGGCTAAGCGAGATCATCCTACAGTGAGCCCCACATCTGTCAAGGTTCCTCCATATACAGAGTTTTCAATTAGCCTTCAGAGTCCCACAACTGAATATGATTAAGGAGCCAAAGATTTGAAAAAAGCCTCTAATATGAAAGACAGAGATCAAAACACACAAAAGGAAATAGATAATGCAGGGAGAAATAAATTTAAAGCATCATTAATATATTTAGAGATAAGGAATATTCCATCTTTAAAATGAAGAAGAGAATGCTACAAAGAAGAAAATTCTGAGAATAAAAGAGCTCTTGCAAATTAAATACATGACAAAAGAAATGAAAAACCCAGTAAAAAGACTAAAAATAAAGTTGACAAAACATTCTAGAAAGTAATGCAGAAGGACAGAGATAGAAAACAGGAGAAAAAAGATAAGATTTTTAAAGATCTGTACAGGAGACCTCATATCCTAATAAAAAGAATTCTGAGAAAAGAGAAAACTGAGGGGAACAAAAATGTATTCTTTGAAAAATTTTTCTCAGAAATGAAGGAATTTCCAGACTGAAATGGCCGTCGAATGCCTAGTGTATGGACGACTTTAATAAAAGCATATAATTGTGAAATTTTGGAATACTGGTAACAAAAATAAGATACTACAAGGACCCAGAGAAAGAGAAAAATATCCTCACATGCAGAACGACAAAAGACTTTAAAAGCAAAGTTAGAAGTCAAAAGATAATAGAGCTCATCTTCAAAATTCTAAGGAAAAATGTTTTAAACCTAGAATTCTAATATTAAGCCAAACTACCAATAAGGTAAAGACGTAGAATAAGGAATTTTCTGACATGAAAGTTTTCAAAAAACTTACATTCCATGCATCTTTTCTCAGGAAGCTACTAAAACACGAGGGCTTAAATCAAGAAGAAAAAATAGGATCTAATATAACTGGACATCTAGTGTAAGAAAGAGGTCATGTGAATCCCTAGGGTGATGGTGAATGAAAATTACAAAATAATCATGTGTGTGTGTGTGAAGGCTAGAATGTAACCTGTTCAGATTGGAGAGGCCAGAAATTTTCAGATTTCTTCAGAAAGATAAAATTGATAGAATATTTAATATGTTTAGACATATTGAGAAACTTACACAATAGTTTCTTATTTTTGATATCTGATCCTGGCACATAATGGTGAGTGATTTCTTGACACATCACTGACTTTCCTATAAGGAGCTTTGATGGTACCATGGGTCCACAGTTACCACTTCAACCCACATTATTTACAAGGTAATTGAAGTGACAAAAAAAAATCAGTCTCACCTTTATTATGGTTAATTCTGTAGAGTTTCTTGGTGTCACCCAGAATAATTTGTAATCTTCACATACTAGGTATTCTTGTTTAATGCAATAATCCTCATTACCTGTTGAGAAGGTTTGATTCCATTTAAAAACCACTGGAATATGTATAGCCCCTTAGATTTTACTTCCTGGTTTAAGGTCTAAAGGTACTTTATATTTGCCAGTTAGTAGCAGCTAGAATAGTTTTCAAATTCTTTTGCTAAAAATTGAAAGAGAAGACAGAATTCCTATGTTACTGGGATATGAACTTATCAATATGTCAACTTCTATGATCCTTTTTCTTATAATTTACAAATATTTATTGTACATAAGCATCAAGCTCAAGTACAAATAAATAAACTTATTTATACACTGTCATATACAAAAGGATATGTATTCAATGGTACTTACCTAATTCAATTTCCTTCTCTGTTTCCAACTTAGGCATTGGTCTATCTTCTACAAAAATCTCTACAGAGGCACTCAGCTCTGGTAGGGATTTTAGTAGTTGTCTACGATACTGTGAACACCAGGGTGACTGAACAGGATTTTCTGGGGAGAAAAAAGTTGTAAAAACATCACCTAAAACCTTAAAATGAGTATAACAGGGGAGGGAAATAAAACAAAATCGCACGATCAATATGGCTAAGCTAAAGTTACCACTTCAACCCACATTATTTACAAGGTAATTGAAGTGACAAAAAAAAAAAATCAGTCTCACCTTTATTATGGTTAATTCTGTAGAGTTTCTTGGTGTCACCCAGAATAATTTGTAATCTTCACATACTAGGTATTCTTGTTTAATGCAATAATCCTCATTACCTGTTGAGAAGGTTTGATTCCATTTAAAAACCACTGGAATATGTATAGCCCCTTAGATTTTACTTCCTGGTTTAAGGTCTAAAGGTACTTTATATTTGCCAGTTAGTAGCAGCTAGAATAGTTTTCAAATTCTTTTGCTAAAAATTGAAAGAGAAGACAGAATTCCTATGTTACTGGGATATGAACTTATCAATATGTCAACTTCTATGATCCTTTTTCTTATAATTTACAAATATTTATTGTACATAAGCATCAAGCTCAAGTACAAATAAATAAACTTATTTATACACTGTCATATACAAAAGGATATGTATTCAATGGTACTTACCTAATTCAATTTCCTTCTCTGTTTCCAACTTAGGCATTGGTCTATCTTCTACAAAAATCTCTACAGAGGCACTCAGCTCTGGTAGGGATTTTAGTAGTTGTCTACGATACTGTGAACACCAGGGTGACTGAACAGGATTTTCTGGGGAGAAAAAAGTTGTAAAAACATCACCTAAAACCTTAAAATGAGTATAACAGGGGAGGGAAATAAAACAAAATCGCACGATCAATATGGCTAAGCTAACAACACTCTTTTATCTCATTTCTTTATACCTCGTTCAGTTAATACTGATTTATTCTAGAAATTTCACAATTTATAGGAACTTTTCTAGTGAAAACAGTTGTTTGTGGAGATAAATAAGTGTTCACTGAAGATAAATGTGTTCACTAATATATACCACTAAATAAGTGGTATGTATGAACTTACCTGCAGTTTCATTAGTAAGCTCCAGTTTCTCAGGAATTTGAAGGCATTTGAGGGAGCAGGTGCTTATAACTGAGGCAGAAGATCCAGAGAACCCAGAGGAGTGTGTGGCCTCGCGGCTATCTTCAATAATTGGGCTGAAAGAACAACAAATGAGTCAATTCTCATAGGGAAAATATATATCAATTTGTCTACTACAATTTTATTTGATATTTAGTAGTCTCATTTTTAAAGTCCTTTATTTTCATGAAACAGAAATAGATTCATAATCATAATCTAGGTAACAGAATCTAGGTAACTCTGGTTAATAAGCAATACCTATCATTAAATTTCTGAACATATGCTTTATTTACCTGACCTATAGTAAATGCCTATTCTACATCTATTCTAAATTATTAAAAAAAATTGACTAAGACACAAACTTTCTTTCTGTTTACTCCTTCTTTGGACTTTTTACTCTGTAACAAGATAAAGTCAAGTAAAAGTGACACCAACATCACTACTGTGAATACATGCTAGCAAATGTGAAAAAAAATTTTTGGAGAAAAAATTTGAAAACGCAGTTTAAAAAGGACAAATTGGAAAACTGGGATTGGTTCAGATGACTTTTAAATATGGATAGATCATAAGGCTTAGTCCTGGCTCTCTATGCCATTCTCTTATACCAATTCTTTACATTTCCACCTATCAAAAGATACTTAAAAAAAAATCCCTAGTTGCCTATTTGAAATTAGTATCAAATTATTTTATCATTATTTTAAACTTAATATTAAAGAAAAAAATAAATGCCTCCTCTATCCCAAGCAGGTACACTGCCAAATTTCCTCAAAGATATCATAATCCTCCTGGGCCTTTTTTACTCTCATAACCTTCAAAATTTATTTATTTTAACCCTCATATTCAAATTACGAAGTCCCACTAACACTTTATCTGGGGGAGCCCTACTGTCATGTAAAGCAGAGGGCCCCAACCTTTTTAGCACCAGGGACTGGTACTCTTACGAGAATCTAAAGCCTGATGATCTGAGGAGGAGCTGAGGTGGTGCTGCTAGCACTGGGGAGAGGCTGCAAACACAGATGAAGCTTTGCTCCCTCACCTGTTGCTCACGTCCTGTTGTGCAGCCCAGTTCCTAACAGGCTACAGACTGGTACTGGCCCATGGCCTGGGGGTTGGGGACCCCTGATGTAAAGTAAAAGACCTTAGCACAGTACCTGGCACGTAGTAGGAGCTTGATAATTAATTGCTATAACTGATAATCACACACAGAATAAGAATACTTAATAATCTGGTTTGTGCAGCCTATATCGCCAATTACCTCAGCTTCTTGATGCTGAGAGTTGGATTGTAGATAGTGCCACAAGTAGTCTGTTGGTCCTCAGAGGTCTTCACATCTAGATCCTCTTCCTGCAAAAGTCTCTCAGAGTCAGAAGGGAGATCCTTCAAGGATATTATCTCATGAAAAGGAGTGGATACAAAACGAGCTGCGCTAGCAAAGTCACAAGTGTCTTCTGGGTTAGGACAAATAGTTATATTCCTGAAACCTGTGATAATAGCATCTTCACTCAAGGGCTCAATTCCTGTGAATTCATCCTGAAATAGAAACCATGTAAAGTTTAGCTGAAATATTTCAATGAGCATATCAATTTATCCTTTTTAGTCAGAGAGACATACATCAGATAAGCTATTTTCAACACAGGGTGCAGAGTAGCATATCCGAAACTTTAAGGAAAGACAATTTTAAAAAGCATATTATAACATTTGAGGGAAAAGATTTTATATCATGAAAACGGCAAACTATATTTCATCAAAAAATACACTGTGAGGATTCCCCACACAAAAGAAAAATAGTGTATAATAGTTTCTTCCTCCAATCAATTTTATCAAAGAACTAGAGGACTGATACTATTTTTCTTTTGGCTTTGGCCTAGAAAATGTTCTGGTAATCTGCTATCCTCCTAGCTTTTAAGTGGTCTTGTATGCCAAATACTTAATTTTTACTTTATTTTATTTTATTTCTTAAAAGTAACTCACAATCATGGTAGAAAATATGGAAAACTAAGTATTAAAACTAAGTATTAAAGTATTAAAAAATGAAAAACACTAAAAAGTAATATATGTACGTGGTTTTAAAAAGTCAATTAGTTTAAAATGATATATAGTGAAAAAATCTCCCTCCTGCACTTGATCCCCCATCTCCATTTCAATTACTACTCCCAGAAACAACTGCTATTACCATATATTTCTAGTAAGATACATGCACAAGCTATTCTATGCATTTAAAAAAGGTTTTAAAACAGGTGATATTATAGCATATGTGCTAGTAAAGTTGACCCTTGAACAATGCAGGGGTTAAGGGTGCCGATCTCTGTGCAGTCAAAAATCCTTGTATAACTTGTGACTCCTAAAAGACTTAGTCATTCATTGGTATCCCTGGGAGATTGGTTCCAAGATCCCACCATAGATATGAAAATCTGGGGATGCTCAAGTCCCTTATATAAAATGGCACAGAACAATGCATACAGTTGTTTCTCCACATCCTCGGATTCCCAACCATGTATGAAAAATATTGTTTGCGATCTGTGGTAATCCACAGTAGGTTGAATCCATGGATGTGAAACCCAGGAATATGGAGGCAAACTATATATTCATTGAAAAAATTCTCTGTATAAGTGGACCTGTGCAGTTCAAACCTGTGTTGTTCAAGAACCAACTCTATGTATTATTCTTTCTTGTATTTTTATATCTTCTGTGCTATTAAAAATCCTTTAAAAACATGATGATCACACTATGGGGTCTATCAGAAGTTAATGAACTATTTTAGGTTATTCTGTTTTTTACTATTATAAAACTATGTTAAATATCCTTACACATTTAAATCTTTAAGAATATCTTAATTTTTTTAGGAATAATTCCTAAGAGAATTATTAGGTTAAAAGGTTATGAACACTAGTTTCTTTATACATATTGCCTAGCTGACCTCAGAGATTGTACCATTTTATACATTTACCTGCAGTATACAAAAGCACCAATTTAATTTAACTATGTGTATACTAGACATTAATTTTCTAGATTATCAATTTGACATATACTTTAAATTTCTGAGTCAACATTAGTAAGTAGAGGTGAGAGGTACATCTAGAAAAAAATAAATGTGGCTAAAATATTATAAGATTAAAAAAATAGATATCTATAGTCTAAGAATATATTTTACGCAACTAGTACTAATGGTCCTATTAGTTTAGACATTTTAAATATGTTTATTTTTAGGGGAAAAAAATTCTGGTAGGTGCCTATTAACAAAATTCAAGTAAAAGGCTAAAGACTGACTCCTGTAATAATTTGGCCCATCCTTGAACAGCTGAACCTGGAACCACTACCTCCATTTCCAGTCTATTTATTTATCATGTTCTCTCGTGCTATTCTCAAGAACACAGTATGTAATTAAATACTCTTCTACATTGTTATCTTCAGACTAAACATATCTAATTCTCTTCAACCTCAAGACAAGTTTCCAGATGCTGGATTGAAGAGAGGGATGATTTTATTCCTTAAAACTTCAATGAAATGTCAGTGATAATGGTTATTTACTTTGACTTGAATGCCTATGTGGGGTCCTTTTACCCTAAGTATTATGTCACTAGTCCATGGTTAAAATAGAACATTACTAAAGAAAAATGGTTGGCCCACATAACTCTTCCATTGCCATGAAAAGCATTTTATATAAAAGAACAAAGATCTTCTGCTATGTTGGTTAAAAAAAAGTTGTAAAGGCTTTCAAGATAGTGATTTTTTTTTCCTACTTTAAAAAAAAAATGATATAATTCACATACCAAAAAATTTACCCTTTTAAAGTGTATGTTTCCAAGGTTGTGCAACCATCACCACTAACTCCAGAACATTTTCATCCCCCACAAAAGAAACTCCATACCCATTAGCAGTCATTAACACTCCTCTCTAATCACCTGGAAATCCCTAATCTATTTTCTGTCTTTGTAGATTTGCCTATTCTGGACATTTCATATAAATAGAATCATATGATATGCGGTCTTTTGTGTTTGGCTTCATTCACCTAATAAATTGTTTTCAGGGTTCACCCAGGTTGTAAGATGTATCAGTACCTCATTCCTTTTTATGGCTAAATAATATTCCATTGTATGGATATACAACATTTTGTTTATCCATGCATCGGTTAATGGACATTAGGTTGTTTCCACTTTTTGGCTATTACGAATAATGTCACAAATATTCACATACAAGTTTTTTGTGTGAACATGTATTTTTAATTCTTTTCTATATAAACCTAGGAGGAGATTTCTGGTCATAGGATCACTCTATGTTTACTATTTTGAGGAACTGCCAAATTGTTTTCCAAAGTGATTGCACAATTATATATTCTCACCAGCAACCTATGAAGGTTCTAATTTCTCCACATCCTCACCAACACTTGTTGTCTTTTTGATTATAGCCATTCTAAGTGCCTATGAAGTAATAGCTTACTGTGGTTTTGATTTGCATTCTCTGATAACTGATGCTGAGCATCTTTTCATGTGCTTATTTAAAAGCAGTAATTTTCATTTAAACGCTAAACATGAGAATTGAATGAAACAATCTACTAGTCCATTTATATTAACTTAGAAATACTGCTCCTTACACAAACATCTGGAGACACATCCTCATTTGAGGTGATGTTTTCTGAAGTTTTGAGAACTGCAAGGGGTCTTCGTTGGACTAAAACCCGTGGGGGATCTGCAGAGGGACTGGAAAAAGGCATACTCCATTTAGCAATTTTTTTTTCTGTTGACACAGATAACAGTAACCCCTCACTAATAATAATAGAAAACTTTTAAGTGTCAAAACAAATCTCAAACCTGATATTCCTTTTTTCTGAAAGAAGAAACTCATCAAAAATGGAGAAAGGTATACTGGGATCTAGAGAAAAAAGAGACTAGATTTATATTCTTAAAAGTAAATGCTCTATTTTTCACAAGTAGGTCAATTAATATTTCACATTATTTGAAAGCAGAAAGGCAATCTGGTTTTTTTAATGAACAATTTCAAACATATAAAAGTAGATATTACTTAATAATAATTATCTAAACATGGATGATCTTTATTTCCTACCACTACCACTACTCCCCAAACCCAACCCAATTCCAGATTATTTTGAAGCAAATCTAAGACATATCATCTATAAATATTTCAGTATGTATTTATAAAAAAGGTCATTTTTCAAAAGCATAACTTCAAATTATGATCATATCTGTAGAATTAATTTCTGAATTATTAAATATCCAGTCAGAAGTATCATTTTATCAAAATTTTTAAGAAAGTTTGAATTGAGAATGCAGAGTAAGATTCATGTACTTTCTGTGACTATTTGAAATGTCTTTTAAATCACTTTTATTCTATAGAATTTTTTTTAAGTAATTCATTTTTTGAAGAAAGTAAATGTTTGCCCCATAATGCTTAATTTTTTTGCAATTACATCCTCCTGTGTTGTTTAACCTGTTCTTTCATGTTTTATTTCCTATAAGTTGGTGATTAGAATTAAGGTTTGCTCAGATTCTATTTAATGTTTTTTTTTAACTACTTACAGGTGCATATTCATATTTTTACCACTTTAACATGTTTCTGAATGGAAAAGAGAACAAATTTGAATATTAAATAGGCTTAGTTTTAAGCTTTTTTTCCTTTGTTCCAAAAACCACTTTCCAGTGTTGGCTGCTGTATACTACAGATGTGCTTAACTTAGTGTATACTAACTGAAGTGGAAAATTATAAATTTAAATTTACATTTAAACCAAATATTTCAAAACGATGAGGAATCTTACAAAAATATTCCTTCAAATGTCTATCTAACTTCTAATCATATGCTTATAAATGAATTCTGTTATTCAAAGATACAATGTTCCCTTCTCTCCCTTCTTTCAACTCCCTTTACTATGATTAAGAAAAATGCTTACTGCTTGTTACATAAAGCATGGGTTATCAGTAAGTGTTCCATGACATTGCCCAGTACAACTCACCTTTAGAATGAGGTTGTTCTTGCCAAATGTTTTCTGCAAGTGAAGTTTCCCTGTAAAGGAACTTGTTTTAAAACATGTGCTTAGTACTCACAGAAAGAATAATTTAATTCTTAAAAGTCTAAGAGGTCTTTTCATTAAATATTATAATCTTCACTCTAAGATAAGAAAATATTCTAATACTATCAATTCAAATTCTTAAAAATGTTGGAACCTTTGGTCATTAAAATTGTTGTAGAAGTCTACTTGATAATAGATGTTAAGTTATATTAACAGTATAAAGTAGATTATCAATGTTAATAGTAGTCATCTCGTGATGGTTTTATCTTTTAAAAATTATTTAAATTTAATTGCTTCTATAAGATCCATATATCTTTTTTAATCAAAAAAAGTACCCTGTCTTCCCTCATTAGCATCAAAGTTTACGTTGTGACAGAGACTTGCAAAAATCATGTCTTGATGCTATAAGTCAATGAGTCTTCAAGTCATGAGAGTCAAAAGTTGTTTCTAAATGCCCTCCCATAAGCATCATCCTTTCCACCAATGTGATCCTACCTGGCACAAGAGTTTATTGGACAAACAGAATTGGATAGAGTCATTCCTGGGATTTCCTGAGACACTGAAGCAATTTGCAGTTCAACTGTCTCCTTTGTAGACATCTCTTCTTGCTATTTGCATGAAATAAACAAAACCGATTTGTTCTTCCTTTCTAGAAAATGTTATATTCAATCTTTAGTTTCAAAATTAGCCTTACCATACTTTTCCCCTACATATCCACTAACCATATAAAATGTCTGTTCCACAAAAGTTCTTTCCAATAATTTATTAGCATAAACTGGTACTCTGTATTCAGCTAAATGGTGCCAAGCATATAGCATGAATTTCTTTAGTTAATCTCATTTTAATGGAGCATGACTAGAATAAAGAGCTGAAGTTAGAGGTAACAAAACTAATGGGTGAGTGTATAACTAAGAAATCAATAAATTGCATCGCTTATAGCACATGCTACAAATTGCATTGAAGTCACCTATTAAATTACTTTTCTGCTGAACTTTGCTGCTAATAGCTGAGAAACTACAGAAAACTCTAAATGGAGACTGAGAGGACTTTTATCTTCTATGCTTTTATATTGCTTAAATTTGTTTCAATAAGCTTTAGTTTTATGTATTAAAAAAAAGAGAAATAACCTGATCACCCGTTCTTTCATGCTGAGTGGTTTGAATTTCTTTCAGCTTCTTCTCCATCTCTTCAATTTGTTTCTGCATTTCTGCTCTCTTCTCTGCACTGGTCAGTAGCTCAGCTAGAAACAGTAAAGTTGTCCGAACATTTACTCCTCATAGCAATTTATTTTGTCAAAAACTGTCTTTAGGGCTCATGTCCTCAACATATGTATGTTAGTATTACAATGAGATCTCTATTCTTTTATTTATTCAGTCAATAAAAAAGAGAATACTACAGGCCAAGCACAACTCTGAGCATCTAAGTTTCAGTGGTGTATAATACAAAGTCCTTGGCCATGCAATGCTAACATTCAATTTCAAGGAGACAAACACACACGAATTAACAGAAAACAGGGTTAAAAATAAAGTAAAATAGGTGATGTGAGATTGTGTGGCTGGGTAGGGGCATGGAGGTTAGGGGCTACTTGAGACCAGTGATCAGAAAAGATCATTCTAAGAAAGAGATATTATAAAGCTGTAACCTGAATGACTAGGGGCTGGTCATATATAGAGCTGGGGAAATATTCTAGGTGAAGGGACTAGCTGGCACAAAGGACCTAATGCAGAAACAACATCATTGTGCTCAAGTATCCAAATGAAGGCAAGCATGGTATGTAGCATAGCAAAAGGGAGAAAAGTAAAAGATGAAGTTGGAGAAGGAGGCAGGTGCCAAGTTATGTGGGCATAAAGAGTTTATACTGCATTTTAAGACAATAGAAAAAATTGGAGAATTTTAAGTAAAGGAGTGACATGGTCTGATTTAAAAAATAATTTGCTATGAGCAAATTAATGAATTATGGGGAGTGACTAGAAAGTCTAAGGTGAGAACGCTAAGGAGGTTCGGGAGGTAGAAAACAAAATTGAGGATACAGATCTGAAAGAAGTTAGAGTTTTTGAAGGAGGGAAAAAATGATTTGAAAGTAGCAATGGGAAGAAAAAACAACCCTGTCTCTAGGCCCTGCCTGTGGCTTCCTCATTTCTAGTATTCCTACCCCATAGTAAGTAGTCAGCAACATTCTTTGAAGCCAGTTTTTAATAGTAACAAGAAACCACTTTATTATAGGTATGAGGATTTATAAGAATACAAACTATATACAGCAGGGAAATTACAAGTTCATGAACTAAATTCAGAGACCAGCTTACAGAATGAATATTAAAAAATCCTTGGAGGTCTTTTTACTTGTTCAAATCCCGTCTAACCCTAGCACTGGTCCTTCTTTCGCTAGCTAAGAATAAAATGTACTTTCATCTTATTTTTATACCTAGTATAAGCTAGGTATATAAAAACTCTTAAGGAAACTAGTTTTTTGTTATTGTTTTGTTTTCTTTTACTTATTTTACACAATTTTATTGAGGTATAATTGACATACAATGTTCATTTCAAGTGTACAACATAATTATTCAATATTTGTATGTATTGCAAAGTGATCACAGTAAATCCAGGTAATATCTGTCATTATATGTAGTTGCAAAAAAATTTTTTTCTTGTGATGAGAACTTTTAAGATTTACTCTCTTAGCCAGAGTCCCCAACCCCTGGGCCACGGATGAGTACTGTGGCCTATTAGGAACTGGACAGTACAGCAGGAGGTGAGCAGGCAAGCCAGCGAAGCTTCATCTGTATTTGCAGCTGCTCCCCAGCACTAGCATCACCGCCTCAGCTTTGCCTCAGATCATCAGGCATTAGATTCTCATAAGAGTACTGGTCCCTGGTGCCAAAATGGTTGGGGACTGCTGCTCTCAGCAATTTTCAGATATGCAATACAGCATTATTAACTATAGCCACCATGCTGTGTACATTACATTTCCATGACTTATAACTGGAAGTTTGTAGCTTTTGACTCCTTTCACTCATTTTACCTATTCTCCATCCACTACTTCTGGGAACCATAAGCTGTTCTCTGTATCTATGAGTTTAAGATTCCACATTTAAGTGAGATCATACAGTATTTGTCTTTTTGTTTGACTTATTTCACTTAGCATAATGACCTCAAGGTCCACTCATGTTATTGCAAATAGCAAAATTTCATTCTTTTTTGTGGCTGAATAATATTCCATTGCATATACATATTCATCTATCAGTGGACACTTAGATTGAAGAAAACAGTAGTTTTTTTTAAATTCAAATATCTAGTTTCTTTCCCAGCTCATATTTGGCTATCCTCCTAGCCTACTTCTTTGTTAGGGTGGTTCCCATTTTTTAAAAACCTTACTCAACTAACTTCTTGCTTTCTAATCATTCCCTCTTTCCTACCTAGATACGTAAGTTCCAGTTTTCAACACATTATTTGAGCCCAAAGCACCTCTGTCAATCTTAGAAGGGACTAGTTGATATAACAAATTCCAAACTTACTAATAACAGTCTTTATAGAATTTTGCTTCCAACTTGTCACCTGTAACTCAGAAATGATTTGTCCTTAAATAAATTATAAGTGATGGTTAAGTTTCCCAGCTAGCCCTGCAAATGTCATATCCTATTAAGTGAGCTGAGCCATAATAGTAGGTTATTCCGGATATCTGTGTAAAAAGAAAAATTTATTTCTTCTTTCTTGGTGTAGATCCTAGTTAAAATAGCTAAATTGATAAAATTTATTCTTGGACCCTCCCCCACCTCCTTTTCTGTACTCTCCCTCATCTTCTAATGCTTTAAGTTCCAAATTATACTTCAATACTTCAGCCCATTCTGCACTACCTCTTGCTCCAAGTACTCCAGGCTCTAAAATCAGAACTACTTTCCATTTCCCCAAAATTTTGAATTTCTCAATTTATAGTAAAACTTCTCTTAATTTAGAAAGAAGAAAATGTCTTTAAGAATATAAATAACTATCATCTAAGTAACTGCAGTGTGACTGAGTCTGTTAAACTGAATAAGCCCTGGGAGAAATTTCAGGCAAAGTATCAAAAGTGAAATAGTTCACCCAACATGAGGAAAGCACTTAATGGGGAGGCACGGCAGGTATGCGTATGCATGTCAAGGATCATAGCTGTCTGCCGATGGCATTGGTGAATATAAATTGTTCCTATAGTTCAGAGCTTCTTCTCCTCCTTTACTTTTGAACACAGACTTAGTTGCTTAGTTTTTCCCCCAGGGGTCTCATGGAAAGCAGCAATGGGAGTTCAGCTTAAGTAGAGAGAGAAAAACAATAGAAACCATAGAAGCATCACATAAACATACAAACAATGGGACAATTTTCCTCAGACTTAATATATCAGCTTAACCTTCCTACAACTAAGTTTAGTTATTTTTATAAATCTGAACTAAATCAATGCACCTACCTTCCCTTTGCTCTTTTAATTTCTTTCGGAAAACTTCAGCCCGGATCTCTTCAAAGGAGAACTCCCCAACTCCTGCATAAATTTTCTCCTTACAATACATCATCTTCTCTTTCTTCTCCTCAGAATCTTGCTGATGGCTTTGAACCCTTTGCAGGAGATCCCCTTCTTCCTTTCCAGGCTTTCTTGTGCTTAGAACGTGGTTTATACTGGGTTCAATTTTACATGGTGTCCTAAAAGAAGCAAAATAATAATTATTCACCATACGAGTCAAATGAGTTATTTCTTACATGTTTTGACAAAACACAGAGACGATATCAGCAATAAGACTACATGTAATCAATTTCAAAAAAAAAAAAAAAAAACCAAGGTTGAGGAAAGAGCCTAAAAATAATTTACATGGGTTGTCAACAATTATGTTCTGAGTACTACTGTGTTATGATAAGGAAGGAAGTTAGCTCTGAGTTAGAGTCATTAAATAGTTTATATTCCTTATAGGTAAAAAAATATAATACTATGTCTTAATCAAACCTAATGTATGAAAAGAAATTAAGCCCATTTTCCACTATTTAGAACCCAAAAGAATCGGAGTTAGGAATACAGCATTTAGGGAACTAATGATATGAAGTTTAAGGTTCTCAGCTGAGGGGGAAGAATGAGAGTGGTAATATAGGTTTGAAAGGAATAATCATAAAGTTCCTCAATCAGGATAGAACACATGTTTTCAACTCTGGCTATGGATCAGAATCACTTATATACCTTTTATTTTCTTATGTACCTTTTTACAACTAAAGATACCTACCTGGTCCTTACCCCAGATCCACTGAATCAGAGCCTTTAATGGTAGAGTCTAAGGATCAACATGCTTAACCTGATAAAGGACATCTACGAAAAACCCATGCAAACATTATACTTAATGATGAAAAACTGAATGCTTCTCCTGCTAAGACCAGAAACAAGACAAGGATGTCTATTCTTGCCAATTCTAGTCGACATTGTACTGGAAGTCCTAGCCAGGGCAATTAGGCAAAAAAATAAATAAGTAAGTAAAAAAATAAATAAATAAAAGGCATCCAGATGGGAAAGGAAGAAGCAATCTCTATTAGCAGATGACATGATCTTGTTATATAGAAAATTCTAAGAATCCACTTAAAAACTATTAGAACTAATAAATGAGTTCACAAAAAAAGTAAGATACAAGATCAATATATAAAAATCAATTGTATTTTATATACCTGCAATGAACAATCTGAAAACAAAATTATGGAAACAATTCTATTTGTAGCAGCATCAAAAAGAATAAAATACTTCAGAATAAATTTTTTAAAACTAATATGGACAGACACCTTACTGAAGATAAATAGATGGCAAACAAGCATATGAAAACATGTACTCAACATCATGTCATCAAGGAATTGCAAATTAAAATGAGACACTACCACACATCTATTAGAAAGAGTAAAATCTAAAATATCGACACCACCGAATGCTGGCAAGGAATGTGAAACAACAGGAACTCTCACTACTGGTACAGCCACTTTGGAAGAGATTTTGGCACTTTTTTACAAAGCTAAATTTAGTCTTACAATATAATCCAGCTATATGAGTTGAAAACTTGTGTCCACACAAAACCTGCACACAAATATTTATAGCAGCCTCATACAAATGTGCCGAAACTTGGAAGCAATCAAGATGTCCTCCAATAGATGAGTGGGTAAACATCTATGCAACAGAATATCATTCGGCACTAAAAAGAAATGAGCTATTAAGCCACAAAAAGATGTGGAAAATGACATGATCAGACTTGCATTGCAGGTGACCAGGGAAGATTGTGCGACTGGGCCCCACAGGACACCTACTACATAAGACCACTCTACTAAGACCGAGAGACATAGCAACTCTACCTAATACAAAGAAACGAACACAGGGAGGCAGCTAAAATGGGGAGGCAAAGAAACATGTCTCAAATGAAAGAAGAGAACAAAGCTTCAGAAGAACAACTAAACAAAATGGAGACAAGCAATCTACCAGATGCAGAGTTCGAAGTGCTAGTTATAAGGATGCTCAATGATCTTAGTGAGAACTTCAACAAAGAGACAGGAAACATAAAAATGGAGACAGAAAAACATAAAAAAGAAATGAAGAATGCAATAATTTAAATAAAGAATGCATTAGAGGAAATCAACAGATTAAATGAAGCGGAGGATCAAAACAGCGATTTGGAAGGTAAGGTAGCAGAAAACACCCAATAAGAATAGCAAAAAAGAAAAAAGAATCCAAAAAAATGAGGACAATTTAAGGGACTTATGAGACAACATCAAGCGTACTAACATCTGTAGAATAGGAGTACTGGAAGGAGAAGAGAGCAAGAAATTGAAAATTTGTTTGAAGAAATAATTATGGAAAACTCCCTAATTGGCAAAGGAAATAGATATACAAGCCCAGAATGTCTCATATAACATGAACCCAAAGAGGCCCACACCAAGACACATCATAATTAAAATGCCAAAAGTTAGTTATAGACAAAGAAAGAATCTTAAAAGCAGTAAGAGAAAAGCAGTTAGTTATCTACAAGGGAGCTTCCATAAAACTATCAGCTGATTTCTCAACAGAACTTTAAAGGCCAAAGGGATTGGCACAAAATATTCAAAATGATAGAGCAAGGACCTACAACCAAGATTACTCTACCTAGCAAAACTATTGTTTAGAATCGAAAGATATAAAGAACTTACCAGATAAGAAAAAGCTAAAGGAGTTCATCAACACCAAACCAATATTATAAGAAATGTTAAAGCGACTTCTTTAAAAAAATTAAAAATATGAATAATAAAATGGCAATAACTACATACCTAGCAACAATTAGTTTAAATGTAAATAGATTAAATGCCCCAATCAAAAGACATGGGTAGTTGAATGGACAAGAAATAGAACCCTTACCTATGCTGTCTATAAGACTCACTTCGGATCAAAAGACACATACAGACTAAAAATAAAGGGATGGAAAAAGATATTTCATGAAAATGGAAACAAACAAAAAAGCTGAGGTAATAATACTTATAGAGACAAAACAGACTTTAAAACAAAGGCTATACCAAGAGACAAAGAAGGACCCAGTAATCCGCCTCTGGTTATTTATCCAAAGAAGCCCAAAACACCACTTTGAAGGGACATGTGCTTCTATATGTTCATTGCAGCATTATTTACAATAGCCAAGATATGAAGGCAACTTGGATGTCCATCAGTGGATTAATGGATAAAGAAGAGGTGGTACATATATACAATGGAATATTACTCAGCCATAAACAAAGGATTAAATCTTGTCATTTGCAACAAAGTGGATGGACCTAAAGGTTACTGTGCTGAGTGGAGTAAGTCAGACAGAGAAAGACAAATATCTTATGATTTCACTTATATGTGGAATCTAGAGAACAGGATAAACAAACAAAACAGAAACAGCTCATAGATACAGAGAGCATTTTGATGGTTGCTGGACTGGGGGTGAGTGGGGAAATGGGTGAAAGGGAGAAGGATTAAAAAGTACAGATTGGTAACTACAAAATGTTCATGGGGATGTAGAATACAGTATAGGGAATATAATCAGTAGTACTGTAATAACTATGTATGGTACTAGACGGTACTAGATTTATCTGGGAAGATCACTTTGTAAGTTATAGAAATGTCTAATCACTGTGTTGTACACCTGAAACTAATATAATATTGTATGCTAACTATAATTGAAAAAATTAAAAAATACTATTGGCAAACAGAAAAAATAACAGCCTCTTTCGTGTTGAGCACTTATCAGACAGAATTTTTAATTAATCTTACCTATTTTTACATTCCTATACTACCTAGAATATAGTGGAGGGTTACAGATTAGGAAACTCTTGCACTGAGACACAGAGTACGATGTAGTATTACAACTCCAAAATGTTATGTATTAGACTAAATCTCAGACTGTAGGATTATCTAATCATCACCTATCGTACTTTTTCTTTTTCTTCCCCCTTCACTTCCACCTATGACCTATGGATGTTGCCATTTCCCGGTAAGAACTGGATCTCTGAAGGCGGGGCATCTCCTCCCACAGGCTCGCGGCGTGCACCCAGGGCCTGTCGCTCCCGGCACACTCAGGGCGCCTGGTGCGCCTGGGCCTGGCACACCCGGGGCATGGTCCGTGGCTCCACCTGGGGCGCGAAGTTTCCCCCTTCACTTCCACCTCTGACCTATGGATGTTGCCATTTCCCAGTAAGAACTGGATCTCTGAAGGCGGGGCATCTCCTCCCACAGGCTCGCGGCGTGCACCCAGGGCCTGTCGCTCCCGGCACACTCAGGGCGCCTGGTGCGCCTGGGCCTGGCACACCCGGGGCATGGTCCGTGGCTCCACCTGGGGCGCGAAGCCAGGACCTTCTGCATGTAAAGCAGACGTGCTAACCACTACATTATGGAGCCACCCCTCGTACTTTTTTCTTATAAATAGAAATGCTAAGGACTAGGAAAAGAATTAGAAAACATCTGTAAGGAAAGAGTAGGAACAGAAGAAAAACTATCATAATTTCTAATTACTGTCAATAACAAAGGTAGAACATCTTACTTAAATCCCAGTAATTATCTTTGACAACAGCAATATAAATATAAACATATCACGTTAAACCTATCATGTTTATTCCTCAATAAAAATATTACCTAATGGTCTGTTAGCTCTAACATACTCAGAGGAATACAGACATAAAGGAAACACTAAACTGGTTACTTCTACCCCCACAAAGAAGAAAATGCCTTTGGGAACTAGGATAGGGGCCCCTGTCCACTCTTATTAATTCCCACCTCAAAATATCTGGAGTTCAAACTCACATAACTGGCTGTTGTGCAGTCTCTTCCACATACGGAGTAAAACTGGGAAGCATAGAGGGTACAGCTGTCACAGAAGCTGTATTGCCACGAGGCTGGCAATGAAGAAGAAAACTAAAATTACCACAGTTATACATTCTGACACAACATATGCATGCCTAATTATTCAAGAGAAATTAAAAGAGATACTAAAAATATTCCTTTAATCTAAATCTGTAGTTTTTTATAATGTCAGCAAAAACACTAGAGGTAAGAGTCCTTACTCTGTGTTCCAAAGGCCTGCCTGTGTTCCAAGGGCCTGCTTGCAGCTCATTTTCTTTGGCCCTGGACACAGGGGGTGCAATCCATGGCTGGACTGTAGGCGTAGACAGCTCTGCTATAGAAGCCTCATCAGCATTTTCATCAAAAACAGTAATTCTAGAATTACTTTGCATCGGTTGAGGAAATGGATTTTGGAGTCCTCGGTTCTGGTTTGGAGCTAGGAGGAAAAGAATATTAAAATTTCATGTAAAAATTTTAATTATCAACTTAGATGCCAGATAAATTATACCTAAATCATCCCCAAATCAAGATTACTTCTACCATTGAATCAGTTTAAAAATAACAATTTAAAAAACCTTAATGAGTCAAATTACTAACTTTTTAGTCCATTCTGTTTGTTATTTATACTCTCCCAATCTTTTCCTCATCTCCAACCTTTCATTCATATAAATATATATATATAAATTCTACATCTTATTTTAATAATCATTCTAACATTGTCTAGTTTTATCGGAGACTAACCCTAATTTAATCTTCATTGTTGAGTTTAAAATTTTCTGTCGATGGAAATCAGCTAAGATACACTGAATCTAGAGAAGACAAATTAAAATTAGCCCATTTATTAGGGGTGTTCTCTGTTGTAGGACTGTTTATTACAATCAAGCTTCATTATGTTCTGAATAAAATATTCTTTAGGACCATATACTCCCTATACTTTAATTCTAGAATCTCCAAGAACATTCTAAATATTGATAAGTTGATACCAAGAAAGGTATAAGAGATTTAAAATAAATATTCTGGTCTGTGTCCAAATTCCATAAATTCAGTTAATAAATTAGTTATTGCTCTTTGTACCTTCTGCTCAATGTTGCTGTGAACCTCAAATTTTCAAAAAATTAGGTGAATTAAAAAAAACCTTATTGTTGATCATCTTCCAGTTTACAAAGAAAGCCTAATTTCTAGCCCCCAAAGACTTAAGACCATATTTATACACTGGCTGAGGCTTTGGTACATGTTTACGTTGACAATACTCGATATTATTAGATCATCTTTCAACTAACAACTCTTGAACTCAGAAACTCTTGATGCTTCCTATATATTAGGTTTTTCTTAGGACAAAATTGTTGACATGTTTTGGTTTTAGTGCACCCTGTGATCTCAGCTCTTCTTAGACTTCCTTCTTTTTGCTACCTAGTACTCAGAAAACTAGGACAGTGTCTACGAATATATTTATATATTATCTCTTTACATAATTTGCCTACCACCCGAGACTAAGTCTCCCATAATAACATTTAACAAACTTACCCTTGAGAGCACCTCCTATACGGCTGATTGGAGCTCTTGCTGTCTTTTTCCCTTTGCTTTTTAGTTCAGCCAGTGTGCTTCGCTGTGGTACAGAGGCTCCAAAAACTTCCTCTTCTTCTTTCTCAAGTGCCATCAGAGTTTGCCGAGTCACTCGAGCTTGGAATTGTCTCAAGTAAAAGAAGAGACAATTAACTTTTGGTGAGATAAGTACTACTTGCCAGATTCAAAATTTCTTCTTCTTCTTTTTTTTAAATTACTTACCTACCTACTTACTTATTTACTTATTTATTTTTATGGTGACATTGGTTAACGAAATCCAGTACGTTTCAGGTGTACAATTTAATGATAAGGCAGGCATACATACATACACACACATGCACACACATTGTATTGTGTATTCATCTCCCATAGTTAGATTTCTGTCACCAGATATTTGACCCCTTTTGCCCTATCTACCTTCCTCCTTCTCCCTCCCCAGATTCAAAATTTCTAATTTGTTAAAATAAACAAGGGAGGAGGGTAGGATGGGGTAAGAAATATGTAGAAACAGCCCAAACAAAGTGTTTATTCTTTCAGTAATAAAGAAAGCCACCTTGATATCAGAGTCAGTTTTGGCTAGAATGATTTAGCTCCAAGTTCAATTAATTAAAAATATTCTTGAAGATTACCATTAGGTTGATCTGGGGATCAGATCAGGGTGACTAAGACTAAGATTATAGAATTTATTAAGATCAGAGTTTCCCATCAACTTTTTATTATAAAACTCTTAAATTTATAAAACAGTTGAAAGAGTAAATAAGCACCCATATACTCTTCAGGTACATTCAGCAATTAACATCTTGCCACATTATTTTATCACTGTATGTGCCTCTTTCTCTTTCTACAAACATACTGCTCTATCCCCTACACACCATTTTTCTGTAATCATATGAAATAAAGGTGCATCCCATGTAACATTTTACTTCAGCAAAGCTGGCAGAAGTTTGAAGACTAAACTTCCTGTGCTGCTGCCAAAGTTTTAAGTATTATCAAAAGGGTAAAAAAACTGAACAAAGTGCAAATGCTGGCCAAGATGGAGTAAGCCCACAATAGCCTCTCTCTCACGGATTAGAATTAAAATCTCTAGACATAATACAGAAAAACAACTGAGGCCTCTGAAAAATAAACAAAACAAGTGCACTGTGGAGAGGAGTTAAACTTGAAGAAACAACCCACATAGGGTTGTTTCCTGTTTTTTTCCCCTTCTGCTCTTTTCTCTCGTGGTTTTGAATTGTTCCAACAGTGGGGTTTAAAGCAAAAACTCCTACAGAACCTTCATCTTTCTGGCCAGAGGACTGGGAAAAGGGGACTTTGAGGGCCAGTGAGTATGGGAGAAAAACGGGAGAGGATGAGCTGAAGAAAAGGGCTGTTTAACTCTGTACATGAATTGGCGCAAAACCTGGACTCCTGAACTATGCAGGCACAAGGCAGAACCAAAGCAGCACAGAATAGGTTGAGAGAACTGAACTATAATATAAACCACTGTGAAAGTCCCAGACTAACCCCTAAATAACACATACAGGATAGACCCAAAGGTCTTGAAAAATGAACTGACGCTGAGACCATTACCCACATAAGATGAGAAAGAACTTGTGACAGCTGAAGGCTAGTTGCCTACTAAGACAAAAACATCAATATTCTCCACAGAATATCAACCAACAGGACATAGAGTCTAATAATAAGTAACAGAATAGAAAAACCAATAAAATAAAATAAAATATTAAAAAATAATTAGATCATCCAAAAGAAGGCCAGAAAGGGACAACAGATGAACAAGACAGAGAATAAACTGAAAACAAATAATAAAATAGTAGACCTAAATCCAACATAATTAATAATTATATTAAATAGTCTAAACATAGCATATTAAAAAAACAGATATTGTAGAATTGAAGAAAAAAAAACAGAATACACATATTTTTCAAGTGTATATGGTATTTTCACCACTATAGACCATATTCTGGGCCATAAAATGAACCTTAATAAATTTAAAAGACTTGAAACCATACAAATTATGTTCTCTGACCATAAGGAATTAAATTAAAAATCAGCAACAGGAAGATATTTGAAAAATCTCCAAGAATTTCCTAATGGAATGAAACACTTCTAAATAATCCATGAGTCCAAAGAAAGACACAGGAAAATTAGAAAATAATTCAAACTAAATGAAAATGAAGATATAGTATTATATCAAAACTCATAGGATACAGCTAATGCAGTGCTTAGAAGGAAAAAAAAGCAAAAATTAATAAAATTAAGAACAGAAAATCAATGAGAAAAATCAATGAAACCAAGAGCTCATTCTTTAAAAAGATCAATAAAAATCAATAAACTTCTAGCCAGACTGAGAGAAAAAAAAGAGAAGAAGCAAATTACCAATATCAGGAATGAAAGAGGAGAGATTACTATATAACGTACAGACACTAAAAGGATAACGAAGGACTACTATGAATAATTCTATCCCCATAAACTCATCGATTCAAATGAAATGATCTAATTTCTTGAAAACATAAACTACCAAAGTTCACTCAAAGAAATCAAAGATCTAAACAAAAGGAGAAATATACCGTGTTCATGCACAATACTAATCAAAATCCCAGAAATGTATAATTCTAAATTCTAAAATTTATACAGAAAGTTGAAGGACTAGAAGAGCTAAAAAGGACAAAGTTAGAGAACTCATATTATCTGATTTCCAGACTTACTATATAGTTACAGTAATCTGGGTAGTGTGGTATACATTAATGAACTGACACATTGATCAACAGAACAAAACAGAAACCTACACAAACATGATCAAACTGAAACTGATTTTTGACAAAGGTGCAAAGGCAATTTAATGGAGAAAGTCTTTTCAGTAAGTGTCACAGGAACAAATGGAGGTTCATCTGCAAAAGAAAAACTTGACCCATACCTTCTACAAAAATTTAACTCAAAATGGATCACAGATCTAAATGTAAAAAGTAAAACTATAAAACTTCAAGATGAAAAGAGGAAATCTTTGTGAGCTTTGGCTGGACAAAATTCTCAGCTATACCAAAAACGTGATCCATAAGAAATAATTGATAAGTTAGACTTCTTCGAAATTAAAAACCTTTATTCTATAAAAGATACTGTTAAGAAAATGAATAGACTCAATTTAAGCTGGGAGAAAAGATTTACAAATCACTTATCTGACATAAGACTTGTATTCAGAATATATAAAGAACTCTTATACCTCAAATATACATTATGCTAAATGAAAGAAGCCAGACTACATATTGTATGATTCCATTTATATGACATTATGGAAAAGGCAAAACTGTAGGGCTGGAGAATAGATCAATCATTGCCAAGGGATTGGGAGTGAGAGTAGGTGTTGACCATAAAGGAATAGCATGAGAGAATTCTATGGCGTGATGGAACTATTCTATAACATGATCATGGTGATGGTTATACGTCTCTTTTCATTTGTGAAAATTTATAAAACCATATCCCATAGAATGAATTTTACTGCATGTTAAATAAAAAGTTTTAAATATGCCTTTTAAAAAACTGAGAACTAAGTAAACTTGCCAATCCAAGAGAGCACTTTATGATGCAAAAACAACCATTTACAGCCACTAGTTTTAAAGAGTTAAGACAAGCTCCAGAGAAACAGCATACCGGTGCTGGGATTGCAGTCTTTCCAGTGGTTCAGCCTTCTGTTGAATTCCATCCTGAAATATCATGTCTGCTTTCTTAAAGTTTTCTCTAGCTTCATATTCTTCAGCCCATGAAATATAGAACTGAGCAAGTGAAATGCCAATCCCTTGGTTGTGTAAATAACTGTACATATCCAAAGGCTCATTGCATAAATGTCCCTGTAACAAATTAAAAGCATTAAGAGTTAACCAATTTCTATTCACTTACTGTCTATTATGTGCCAAACAATCACTGGAGATACTATCTGTAGTTTCTGCATTGAAAAAAAAAAAGTCTATTATAATACAATGTTGTAAGGACTATACTGGGAAGACCTAAAAAGTAGACAAGAGATTAATTTGTAAGCAAACAGGATGGGGAGGGAAAACTTCAAGAAGGTATATTTGAGTATGGCCTTGAAAGAGGAATAGACTTATATCAGGTAAAGAATGAGAAAGGAAAGGCACTCTAGGCACAAATAGTTTGTAAGGGGTTCAGGCAAGATAGGAGTTTAAAAAAAAAGGTGTGACAGGTCTTGAATGTGAAGTTAATCAATTTTTGATTTAACTGATAGTCAATGTATGTGTGTTGGGGTAGGACAGCTATAAGCAAAGGAATGACATGGTCAAATCTGTACTTTAGAAGGAACCTTATAAGACCAAATATAATGTAGGTAATTCTAGTAACAAGAAGGTGGGGTGGGGGTGGAAATCACTAAAAAGCCCACACCATTAACAGTTTCATACCTATTTTCTTTAGTCTTTTATACAGGATTTAATCCTTTAAAAAGGATTTTTATCATTTTTATAAAATTTTAATATAAAAATTGCTTTTATTCCACTTAATGTATCATTTATTTTTCTATGCTAATGCTTACTCTATTATTTTTAAATAGATGAATAATGTGTTACCTATATCTTCCATCATTTAACTATTCCTATTTTGGGGATGAATAACTTTTAATTTTGCCCAATTATAATTCAATAATAAATATCTTCATGCATACATCCTTTCATGTTTTACATTACTCTCTTAAGATAAATTCCTAGTAGGACTTTGTTAAAAAGTTAAAAATTACTTAAGAATTGTACAAATTTAAAATGCTAGTAGTGATTCCCAACTATTTTCACAGAAATACTTATTTTTAAAACTTTCTAATTTCATATAAATATAGCATTTCAGTATTCTAATTAGGAGCTCTTTTACTACCAGGGAGGCTAATATCTTGTTTATTTATGAGATATATTTTCTCTCATACCTACCTTTTCCTGCTTGTCTGGCCTAAGATAAGTCCTCCTTTTACGTGTGCCTTTACAGTTCAACACTTCTCCTGTTTTTTTTGTTACTTACAATTAATGCTTAATATCTGTCTTTCCTAATAAAGTAAGTGCCAAAACCCCAGAAAATATTGCTACTATAACTCAGTCTCTAGCCAGGTTTTGGTAGAAAAAGCCTGAATAAATGAAATGCTCCATTTATATCTCTGACAAAAACAGTATTTTATAGTTTAATTTTGTAGTAATTCATTAAATTGTTTTTTCTGCTTACCCCAATTAGTGATGATTTTCCATATGTGATGGTGTTTCAAGCAAAGTTATAATTCTGAATGTGCTATAAGATCCAGTCCTTGGTATCTGTTACCATATAAATAAGGTTTAACATTTCACTTTGTTAACAGCTTTCTGAACAGCTCTGATGCAGCATAAGACAGCCAAAAAAAGGTTGGCTGTCCCATGGTTATTCCAGAGTGCTGAATGAAATCACTTAAGAAATAACATAAATAAAAGGATATCGCGGTTAGAGTAATAGATCCAAAAGTTAAAATCTTTTTGGTAACTCCTAAAAAAGCCAAACTAAGACAATTTTACCCTTTTAATTAAAAATACAGGATATTTTCTAAGAACAAAATTTTCCTTAGCTAGACTGTAATTATCCCTTATAAAAATAACTCTGACTGGAGACATGTTTCTGCAAAGCAAAAAGAGTAGTGAGAAAATCATCTCTCACTCTTCCTAACCATCCCATAAAGAAAAAAAATAGTAAAATAGTTTAATATGCACCTTGTTATCCCCATACAAAATTCAGATTATTGCTGATCATTCTAGGGCTGATCATTTGAATTTTAGGGTTGTCTAGATTAGTGCTTCTCAGATTACCTGTGGTGAAGGGGCCAGCTTTGGGAGTTTGTGTGTGTGTGTAAGAATTTCCATTTCATTGTGGACTGACAGTTTTTGAAAATATAATAAAAACAGAAGTTACCAGATAAATATTAATGTGTTTGGATGTTGTGGCAACATCAAATCGTTAACAAAATTTCTAAATAATTACTACTACTCTCAATTTTCGTGCTTAACTTGAATAGTCTGCAGACTATTCTTTCAGTAGCACTGGTTTAGAATATGATTTTTACTTTAAGATAATGTCATTGCTCTTCAGTACCAGCACCAGGTTAGCATAAGCGAACAGAGAAATTATTCTAATTGTTACTTTTAATAGCTCCAAATATATACAATCATAGAATCCTGGGATTTAAGTCACTTTAGAGGTTTACCTAGTCTAAATTTTTAATAAATTTCATATAAGAATATTATATAAGAATATTACATAGAATAGAATGAAAAACAAAATCTATTAGTGTACCACCACCCAGGGACTATGGTATGCACATTAACAAATCTGTTTAGCATTCTTTGGGTACTGTCCTTTGTTACAGATTCCTACAATATCCCTAAGGTAATTTCTCCAACTTGTCAATAAGGATAACAAAGATATATCAAATGTACTGTGGAAATAAAGATACATTATGCCTTCGAGATTCACCTAATTTCCTATATTATTAACTATTTGAAGTTTAAAATAAGCCTTCAAGAGATATATTTTAGTCAAAAATTTTTATCAATTTCAAATGCCAATATTGTATAGTTGTTGTAAATATTCTATTATTTAGAATTATCCAATCTATTATTTAAATACCTATTTTGTATATTTTTTAATTTTTAAAATTTATTTATTTTTGTAAGTATCTAAATATCTGTTATCTAACATTCTAAATATTTATCACTTACTTTTTTCTTATATCTTTTAGGATAAAAGCAATGAGGTTAATGTCTAAGAAACTCTGGTCATTATTTGATTTGAAGATGTTTCCATAAAAAATCTTCAAGAGTGTTCTAGAAATAAAAGAACTACATATCAAGTAAGACAGTACAAAGTAGTCAGGCAGACATTTTTGGATGCAGCAACATACTAGGTAAAAGAAGCCCAAAGACAGACAAAGAATTAAATGTCATTTTTTATGATAATGATTCTCAAAAAGAGAGAAATACTAGAATCACCTACAAAAGCTTTTTCTCAATTTTACTAAACGTCATGTGTTGGCTCCAACATATTTTCTTCCAATACAGTTGCATGACCCAGTGAGGGAAAGAAGGAGGGAGGGAAGGAGAGAGGTACTAAAAAAAGAAAAGAAAAAGAAAGAACCCACTCCTATAGAGAGGTATACAAACCAGCCTTGTGATCACGCTTAAAGGAGTAAAAAACCTTATATAAAAATCCATCTTTAAAGTAGAAACAATTTACCAAATATTGAGTATTTATTAAATGTTTAGTATCTACAAAATGGCTCAGATTTTGCCATTTTTTTTGTGTATCAGGATCTCTAGAGAAAAATCTCTTGGTTTAATATTTTAAACTCAAATAGCATCTGAGACTTACCAATTTAAGCCAGAGACTGAGAAATCGAGGATCATTATAATATCTTTTTTCTCCTTGTAGTGCTTCTACAGCTCTTTCTAATAATGTTGACATATTACTCTCCTTGCCCCCCTGAGGATAGTTCTGCTCTGTCCAGTTAATATACCTGAATAGGAAGAAAAGGAAAAGAATATTTAAAAAATGAAATGTGTACTTTTGTGCTTGCTTCAAGACCCATTCTGGATTTTTTTAAAGCAGAAATATCTAATATATTGAAAATGTTTATTTAGAGGTCTTCAGTGACATGACCTAAGCCTGTATTTCTCAAACTTTTCCAAGTATCTCTAATAAGTGCCTGTTGGAAACAATGGGGATGGGATAGAAGGGTGTAGCTCAAAGGTGAATGCCACAAACTTGAAATGTCTTCAGTCTTGAATACCTCAGGAAGGGACACTATAATTATTCTATCTCTCTGTGTCCCCAAGATACCACTTTATATTCCAGCACACTGCTCAGTACATCCCAATTTGAGAAGCATGGCCACAGGGACTCATGTTAAGTTTCCATTGCCCTTCTAAAATAAAAAGGACTCACCTATCCCAAACATCCAGAGGGTCATTTCCAGTGTAAAATCGAATTTCAGATTCAAATGCCCTGAAATTTAAACAGAAAATGTTAACATAAGCAATAATGACAATAGCCAGAGTGAACAAGTATAACCTCTATTTTTATTCATTTATTCAGTATTTAACATCAATCTAGATAACTCCACTGGAATTTGAGGGTTAAATAGAAAGAAAAGAATAGAATTAGGATTCTGCCTGATAACAGGAAAGACAAAACATGTAGAAATTAGAGAAACAAATTCTAATAAAACATATAGGAAAGCAGTATTATAAAGCAATTTAAAGCTCTGGAACAAGATTCTCTAGGTTCAAATGCAGCTCCACTGATTACTACCTGAATGACACTGGATAAGCTATTTAAACTGTTTTCAGTTTCCTCATCTATAAAATGGGGATAATAATTGTACCTATCTTATTAGGTTGATTAATCTTAAATGTAAAATGTTTAGACACAGTAAGCACTCAATGAATAACAGCTATTATTTTGTATATGATAGTATTGAACTAAATACGTACACAAAAAGATATGTACAAATAAGAATCTTTAAAAAAATTCCATAGGCAACCTTAGTCAGAGAATAATACCATATAGAATTTTGGAAGTGTCTTAAAGAAAGTATTAATTATGACTCTGTAAAGACCTGAGAAAGGCAAAGTGCTAAGACTAAGTTGAGACTTACCAGTTGGAAGTATTATATAATAAAAAATTTAGATAAATTAAAAAAAAAACTGTATAAGGGGTTATGTTTGATATAAAGAAAAACAAAATAGGCCCCGACACAAAGGAATTTATACTCTAATAAAAGTTTCTTAAAAAGTTAAACATACACTTATTTTTAAACATACATTTATGACCCAGTAATTCCATTCCAATAAAAGTGAAAATCTATGTCTACAAAAAGCCATGCACAAGAATGTCCATAGCAGCTTTATACATAAAGCGCACAAAACTGGAAAGAATCTAAATGTCCATCAATTGATGAATAGATAAAAAAGTGGAATACTACTCCACTTTTTTATTGCAATAAAGCAGTAAAAAGGAATAATTTATTGATATATGCAACATGATAAAGCTTAAAAAAACACGCTGAGTGAAAGAACTGTATGATTCCATTTATACAGAATATTCTAGAATAAGCAAAAGTAACCTATGGTGATAGAATGTGATCACTGGTTGCTTTGATTGGGAAGGGGCATGAGAGAACTTACTGAGGTAATGAAAATGTTGTCTTGAAATGCATGTCAAAACTAATTAACTAATGAAAATGTTGTCTTGAAATGCATGTCAAACAGTATATATAAAAATCTCAGCATTTCACTGGATTTAAATTACCCTTAAAAAAAAAAAAACAAAAAAAAAAAACACCGGTCCTTAGGAACCAACTAAATAAAATTAGGGTGAGAGCAGTAAGATAATTTAGGTGAGTTTTGGTACCAGTAACCAAAATGGAGTAGAAAAAGGAAGGTCATTTATGTAAGAAGAGATTCAGTATTTAATACGTTAGTGAAACATTTATCTAATTATATGCTATAAGAGATAAAAAGACACTTAGAAGGCAAGGAAGGGATGTACACAGTTGTTAAACAACCCTGGAAAACTTGAATATGGACGGAGAATGGAGGAAAAAGAACAAAGACAGGTAAAATGCAGTAGGAAGCCCATAAGAAAAATGGAAGAGTAGTTAGAGAAGTAGAAAAACTAGTATAACTAAGTGTAATGTTCCAGAAGCCAGGAAGAAGAGGTAAGATTAGAACACCACCAACTCTGAAACAGAACCATAAAACCTAATGCTTTTAAAGATCCAATGAGATGAACAGGGATATTCATTACATTATAACCCACAATTATGATAATTTGTGTATGATGGCAGAAATTTTTTTGTCAGAGATTGAGGGTAGAAACTGATACTTTACTTTTTTGAAAAAAGCATATTTATCAAAACATGTATTAGTCAAAGGAGAACAAATTCCCTATATCCATTTGAATAATGTACTAGTATTTTTCAGCTTTTGTTTATCCAGAGCTTGTTAAATGATTATTGAGAAATTTTTTAGTATAAAGTTTCTCTGAGGTTTATTTACATTTTCTTTGGAGATCACTATTTCTTTTTGGCATATTATCAAAAATACTTTCCTAGAAACTTAATAATTGAATATACATGAAAGGTAGTAGATTCATTCTCCCTCAGCACTCAGAATCCAAAGAAATTTCTCTAATTGATTACTATCAAAGAGTTAATTCTGTTTAGGGATTCAGAGTGACATAATACTTCAGGGAAATACTGTAATTTGATACTTGCTTTACTCTGCTTTGCATTGCCCCCTGTATAAGATGTATTTCTATTGATACAAGAGTTTGGCTGTTCCATGATGAAATGAAATCCTATACCTCTTGCTCTTAATCATTCTTGAGGAGATCTTTAGATAGCTGTCATGTGATGAAAAAGCAGGTGGGGAACAGATTCTCATACTACCAATTTTTGAAGAGTACTCCCTATGCCATTGTGCATCGATCCATACACATTATCTACCACAGTTGAGGATGAATGATGACAGGTTGAGCCACAACTGTTTTACACACCGTTTCTGCTGCTGTAGAGTAGTGTTACGGGCAGATTCTTGCTGTGCCAATATTCCCTGAAGTGTGGACATGCTCCGCCCCTGCCTTAAAGGTTGTACATTTTCTTTACTCAGCTCCCATTCATCTCCCTCCAGAGACATGGCTTCACTATGAAGGGGGAAACAAAAGTAAGTCTCATACAAACACGGAGTTATTATATCACTAGATTATTGTAAATGTTTTCAGATAAGCGATTACTCATGATCTCTGCATTGAAGATCGTGGGCAGGCACACTAGTAGTATTATTATTACTCTCCTAAGCTTCTGAGCCTTTCCAAATTTACGGCTCTAGTATTTGCCTAATGAAAGAGAATGTAGCAACAGTATTGTAGACAGTACTGTAAGAATAAAGTTTAAGGAAGGAAGAAAAGAAGGGAAAAAAGTATTAAAAATTTAGCAAAGTAGACAAAAAGCAGTTCTATGCTAACCATTGAATGCATCATTTAGTTTAATTTAGAATTAGCAAAGTGTTCATCAGACTAACATCTATGTTTCAACTGATGACTTAAAACTGAAGTTTATATATATAGGCAGCCCAAAGCAGAAGCAGAGAAATATACAGTTTACTGGTCACAACAGCCCCCTTCCCCAAATTTTATCAAGTCTGTGGGGGGGCATCTCCACAACTTTTTTTGGAGGCAATCACCATATTGAATATGTACTATGAACTTCAGAGTTCCACACTGGACAGATAGAAGCCTATTTCTGGATGCGAGACATTATCTCTGGGTTTAAAACAAAGAGACAGATTAGGAACTAATCTTCAAAATAGAGTAAAAGGTATGATCTCAGTCTAGATGCCAGCAAAAACTCTCTTGAAGAAAATAAAGTATAAGTGGTTAATAATTTAGGTTGTAACTACCCACATCTTTTTAACATTGTGTGAATCCTGTAATGGCCCTGTCATTTACTTTTGTATCCCCATGGTCTAATACAAGATCTGACACTAGTAAGCACTGAATAAATATTTGTTCAGTTCATCTTTCTTCTCGCTCTTAAATTAATTAAATTATCTCAGTTAAATGTCCTAAACTGAGTTGCTTCTTCGTCCACCTGCCTCCTCTCAGGCCTGCTCCTCCCACAGCCTTCCCTCATCTCAAATAAATGGCAATTTCACTTTTTCAGTTGCTCAGGTCAAAAGTCTTAGTGCTAACCGTGATACCCTTCTCACAACTCTAATTAACTGAGTAAATTTTGTTGGTTCTACCATCAACTTCTTCTCACCATCTCCACTGTTTCCAGCTTAGCTCAAGCTCCAACTTCTCTCGCCTGAGTTATTTCGATAACCTCTTAACTGGTTTCTTTACTCCTATCCTTTTTTGCCTTTAATCTTTTCAACAATTCAGCCAAAGTGATCCCATTTAAATTCATGTCATATGTCTTTCCTCTACTCAAAACCTTCCAATTACTGTCGATTACAATCAAAGTAAAAGCCCAGTCCTTACAATACCTGCATCCTCACCTTTTTTCCTCCGTTTCCTTTTACTCTCCACGTTCATTCTGCTCCAGCTACTTTGCCAGGTGCAGCTCCTCCCCTAATCCTCACCCTCCATCCAGCATTTGTACTTCCCGCACATATAGGCATGATGAGCTCTTGAGTTTCCTTCAAGTCTTGACCCAAATGACATTCTCAGTGAGGCTCCCTGTTCAAAACTATCTAAAATTGCACCAACCCTCTCCCCAACACTTTTTCTTTTATTTTTTTTTTTTAGTACTGACCACTACCTAACTTTTAGTTTATCTTGTTTATTGTCTGTTGTCCCTAACCTCATCCCCCCTAGAATCTAAGCTTCAGGAGGGTGGAGATCCTTTTATTTGCTGTACCTAGTGCTTGGTAGATTGCTATTTACCTAAGTATTGTGTACCCCATAATGAAAACGCATACAGAATTCCAACCCAGAAGAGCTGATACATATTTATATAAAGAAAAGCAGTAAGCATATTTATATAAAGAAAAGGGCTTTTTATATTTCTAACTATGTTAGTGGCATAATGACAGCAACTACCATTTCTTGAGCACTTATTTGGAGGCAGAGTGTTACTTTACAAACACTTTGAGTTTTCCCAGAACCCGCAAGGTAGGATTAATTTCAGCATTTTCCATATTAAGACGTGTCCAAGGTCAAACAGTTAAGAAATGGCTGAACTGAGATACAGCCCCCACTACAAATTCCAAGCTCTTTGTACCACTGGGGTTCCACAGCCTTCTTTGTGTTGAAGCTGAATGCAGCGGGATTCTTACCCGCCCGCAATTACACTGAGGTCAGTGCTTACTTTGAGTCTTCCCCTGCACCCCTTGCATCCGACTCCAACAGGAAGGAGGCTGCGGCCTGGCCTGCTCTTCTAATGACCGTGCCACTCCTCTCCTTGACTGTTCTGAATGGGGCCCTGTCGGGTTAGGCATCCTTGGGTCTCGCAGGCCCAGCTCCCAGTCCTTCTCCCGTACCTACCTCGGTCCACCCTCTTCCTTCTTCATTGCTGCCATCCTGCGTTCCTGGCTCAGGTCCTCCACCTGCCGGGGCCTTTCCTCAGCGCCGGAGACCGTCTGAGTTTCTTTCTGCAACCTGTCCTTAGAGGTATCGAAGCGACCAGATGGTGTTCCAGGACAAAAGCACGAAGCTCCCTCTCACAAACTAGCCATCTCAAGATGAGCCGCCAAGTTTCAAATTTAACGGTCCCGCGCGGACGACGTATCCACGCCCCTCCGTTCCTGCGTACTCGCGCCCCTTGCTCAAGGGATTCTGGGGCTTGTAGTTTATCCCGGTTTTAGCCCTTGCAGTCGCGCTGCATAATGGGAGTTGTAGTTTCCAGAATCTAAGGTACCCAAGACTCGGGTCCCGCCGGCTTAGTCGTTATAAATTCTTTGCTGGCGCTTCCTGTGTCCTACCTCTAAGGCCAGTCTCTGAGCCAAGCAAGGCACACTTTATGCGTCAGAATGTCCTTGATGTTTTGAATATAAGGCGATTGAATGCTTGTGCTTGGCCTGATTTTTTTCTGGGGTGTTTGGCTAGGCTATAATCACCCGTGCTGCTTTCTGCCCCAACCAAGACTCACGTGTGTCCAGAGTTCTTAGGCTGCTCTGACCCAGTTGTTTCCTGCCCACCTCTTGAATTCAAAAAAGTTGGATTCTAGTTCTGTAAACATCATACCAAAGTTACAGCTTTAGGTAAACCACATAATCTCTCTGACCTTTAATTTTCTTCATCTATAATCTGGTGATGATATTGCTTTGATTTCTCTGCTACACAGTCCACAGGCAGAAAACACAGCTATGCCATGGCTTCCAAGGTTTTGCCTCTTTGCCACTTCAGGAAACCACCTCTACTGACACTGGCCTCTTAGGCTCAGTTCCAATTTCTTGAGGAAGAAACTAGTACGTCAGTTGTGACCAAGGGAGCAGATGATGCTTAACCCAGAACTCATGTGATATCATAGGACTGGGCCTCCTATTTCACACCTCTGCTCTTCTTCACGTTGGTAAATTTTCATTCTCCATTGAGTAACAGTTTCAGGACTTTATCTTTCCAGGTTCAAATTCAGACTCAGTAGTCATTCTAATTAGCTCCTTCTCCACACAGTCACTGGGGCTAATAGATTTGGGGCTCTAATTGTTCAGGCCCAAATTACATGTTTCACCTTGGGACTGAGATAAGGGAAGGATTGGTTCCCCATAGGAAATTTTGATTACTCTTTACTTCCAAGTCCTCTACACTCAGGAAGCTTCCCTGGATTATGGGTGATGTGGTATATGGGATTCTCTCTCTGGCTCATTTTATCTCTTATCTGTTATACTAGTACCGACCTAGCCCCTCATTTCCTTTCCCTAGAGTGTCCTGTTCACAACCACAACTCCTCAATTTCAACTGTTTCCTATAAACTGTCTCGGAAGTGTAGTATTCACTCCTTTGATCTCAGCCTTGTAGCCTACTCAGATGCCCAGTAAACTGTGATACAACACAGAACACATTCAGTCTAAACCCTTTGCTTGTTTCACCAGAAAAAGAGAGAGACAGATAAAACAAAAATAGGAACAAAATGTGTGACAGAGGTGCTCTGCGGTCTTATTTGAAATGTGAATTCTTATTCGGCTGGACTATGGCTGAGTGACAAACACAGGGCCAGCACAGGCTTCAACAGCAGCAGCAATTGTGAGAGAAGTGAGGATTAAGCGCTTACACATTTATGATCCAAAGATGATGAGGCAAAATCTCAGCCTGAGTACTTTAACATGTTAGGCATTGGTGGGACACAGAAGATGTGAACGGTGAACTAGATACAGTTCTTGTCTTCTAGGAACTTAAGGCTAATGGAGAGACAGGTAAATAAAAAAGGCAATTTCAGTACATCGCTGCCACAACCAGATGTAAATAAAAACAGTGGGCCACGGAGGCACATAGGAAGAGCTTCCAATCTAGGCCTAGGGAGAAGAGATCAGGGAAAATTTCCTAGAGAAGATGAAGGGCAAGGAGAATTTGACACAAACTATTGAGCACAATACAAGTTATGTAGCTGCTGAAGTTTTTAAGGTGCGCCCACCTCCTCTCTATTCCCCACTCTCTCCATTGAGTTCTTGCACCCAGGCCTCACCTCTTTAGACCTCGCATGCTGGCCCATCAAAACTTACCTATCCTGTGTCCTACTCTTCTCACCTAACTATCACATTGAAAACATATGAATTAAATCTCACAAAGATGTTAATAAGAGTTAATGCTTTAATGAAATATTTTCCACATCATTTTCTAAGATGACAATAGATGGTACAGGGGAATAAGTGTCTGATGTTTAAACAAGTTTCTGAATTATTAAATGGCATCTTTACTGAAAGGCTCTCTAAAGCCCCTAATATGCCAAAGTGTACCATGACTCTTTAAGGGAGGAGGGGTATTGGTTTTCTATTGCTGCTATTACAAACTGCCATAAACTTAGTAGCTTAAAACAACACCAGTTTGTTATCTTACAGTTTGGTAGGTCAGAAGTTTGACTCAGTCTCGCTGAGCTAAACAAGGTGTTGGCAGGACTATGTTTCTGGAGGTTCTTTGGGAGAATTCATTTCTTTTTTTTCCAGTTTTTAGAGGCATTCACTGGTATTCTTTGGCTTGTGGTCCCCTTCCTCCATCTTCAAAGCAAGCAACAAAGCATCTCTCTGGTTTCTGTCACCACATCTTTTTCTCTGACCACAGTCAGGAAAATCTCCCTTCTTCTAAAGGCTCATGTGATTAGTTTGGACCCATCCAGATGATCTAGGATAACCTTTCTATCATCTCAAGGTCCTGAACTTTTATCAAATCTGCCAGGTCCCTTATGTTACATAAAGTGACATATTCACAGGTTCCATGGATTAGGACGTAGATGTCTTTGGGGGCCATTATTTTGCCTACCACTGGGGGTGCTGAAATATGTTGGTATCAATGTTGGTGTCTCTAAACTTATTTGATCATAAAGAAACCTTCTCACACATCTTTCAGAACAGATTTTAGGCTCTTCATAGTTTAACAGTAGGCCTCAGGAGAAGAAAATACACAAAGGAATAAATCTTGGACGTGGTTCCATAGTGTAGCAGTTAATACATCTGCTTTACATGCAGAAGGTCCTGGGTTCATGCCCCAGTGGAGCCACAGTTCATGGTCTACTGCCATGCCACCCTGAGCAAGCCTGATGTCTGATCTGGGAAGCTAAGCAGGGTTGGGCCTCATTAGTACTTGGATGGGAGACCACCTAGGAAGACCAGGTGCTGTAGGCATAAATAAAAAATAAAAATAAAAAAGGAATAAATCTTAATGGTGGAATTTCAGGCACAATGGCAATGTGTAGCAATTGGGGACTAGCAAGCCCCTCATTTTCATCCATTTACTTTACATGCAAAGCCATACCTATCTGCATCAGTGGCTATTAGAGGGATTTAATTGTCAGAAAATATATGATCTCTTACTTGGTCTTGTGGAGATGCATATGTTCTTGATTGTCAAAGGCTGATTTCCCCCAACTTTGCCTTCATGGATTATACAAAATCCAGCTTTAGCAGGCTAAACACTGCAAAGATGAAAACTCTGGGTCTCCAGGGAACCCTTGGACAGACTACTTGTTTACTGTGCAACCACAGGAGGAGGGAGAGACTGTCTGGGGGTGGGAGGAAGGTCAAGAGAGACCGAATGGGGGTGTTGTGTGTTCAGGGCCTGAAAGAGACCACATCTGGGAAAGCAGCATCACCATGCTGGCCTTTACCCCAGCAACAGATCAGCCAATCAGAATAGCATCTGCATCTTGTACTTACCAGTGATGAGGTATCTTGAGGTAGAGGAGCCAATGAGAAAGAGGCATAGTAATCCAAACCATCTTGTGTTGCCAGGAGGAAGGGAGGTGAAGGGTGAAAAGATACATTAGCCTGGGGCTAGGGGCTACTGGCTGCTGCCCAGTTGCATCTCACAGTAGCTGTTGCTGACAGGGTATTAGGGTACTCTCCAAGGAGCTGGGTTTCTCTCTTTCATTTCATGGAAACTCTTTTCTAGACTATGCTTCTGCTTTTCTGCAGAGCTAACTTACTTTTCATGGGTCTTCTCAAACCATTAAAAATTGCCTGACCCAGAATTTCTATACTGATATATGCAAAAAACATACATACTGAAAGAGGAGATACCAGTTATCAACTTTTTTACCTCTGGCAGAAAAGAGCCAAAAGGTTGGAATGGCCCATAAGCTGAGGAACGGAAGAAGTCATATGGTAGGGCTATTAAGAAGCAAGGTAAGAAGTGGATCTAAATAAGCTATGTAGCTAATAGGTAGTGCAAAATTAGGCTGTTTTGCTCTGGCATTAACTTGACCAGAGTTTTGTGCTTCAGGAAGGTCTTGGAAAATCTAAAGAGTTCCCAGGTATTCACTACTGTGCTCAATTTACGCATGAGGCAATCCAAACTCAAAAAAATAAAGTGGCTATGAGAGTTCCCATTGAGGAAGAGCAGAGTAGGATCTTAACGTTGCCAGCTTCTTATTTCAAGCCCAGTACTCTGGGTACCACAAACTTCAACTCTAATTTGAAGGATTCAACCACTTCTAATGTTTAATAAACTTCAGCTTCTAGAGAAGCTAAACTTTACGTTCAGGGAGAGGAGTGAACCTAGGGTCTCCCAGCATCACATGTAGTGGGAGTCTCCACTCCAATGTGTTATATATTGCCCAAAAACTGATGGGCGGAGCCCCTGACAGGCAATTTTGTTTGCCTTGAAGGAAGAGGAATGGTGGATGCAGGAGTGCTTTCCCATGAGGAATGAGGAGGCCACCTGATAGCCACCTTGGACAGTGACCCTCCTTGGCATGGCCCTGAGGACTCCTGGCCTTGTGGAGAGAGGGCCTGTGGCAGAGGCTGCAGGAGGCTATTCTGTGTAAGGCTGGCTTCCAGCAGCACTGTCTTCATGCCCAGGTGTTGAAGGTACAGCGCAGCTCCAGCATCTCAAAGATTGGCCACTCCGAGAGCACTGGGAGACCACTCCTGGGCCTAGACATCAGCACCCTCGTAGCTGGCTTCAGCAGACGTGAGATACCCGTCATTGGCCTCAGAGACAGAGCAGGAAAAAACGAACAGCGCAGATGATAGGTGGGAACTGCAGGAAGTGGACCAGTTGGTAGGCACAAGACCTGCGAAAAATACCCAGATGACCTGAGGGAGGCTTCGAAAGGGGGCTGACTCAGGGCTGCATACATAATTAATTG